TGCTACTTACAATTAAGTCAAAAAGAATCCACACGTGACAGTCACATTCTGACGGGTTGATTGGTAGATATACCTGTGGGGAATTTGGTGAACTCACACCTGTCAATTCACATATAGATATCTGCCAAGGAGGAGAAATATCAATTCCTCTTTTGTAACAATTGGAATGGCTAAAAAAGACCCACTAACTGAAAATAACTGACATGTGTCTCTTTCACTTTCCATCTCTGTAATCTGTCCATCTGTTAACACATGAGGACACAGTACGTAAGAACACAACTGCATTTCTCACACTTACAGGTCTGCACCACCTACGGATTTGACAAGAACTATAAGTGTACAATAGTAAAATCTTGGAGTCAAAACCAGTATAAAACACGTGGTTAGAAATGTGGCGTCGATGGACTCTACGTTTATTTGTTTTCAATTTGAGTAAAAGCTAACGTCATCATGATCTCTTTGTGTGGCAGGCTGAAAAACAGGGCCATCCCAAAGGTACCAGTGAGGGACTATGGAGGTAGGCTGTGTGTCTGTCTGTGGTGATTGTGACACAACACCGGTCACAGCTTGTGTAACAAATGATTTGTTGTTCCCCATTTACACCAGTACCATTGACTAGTTCTGTTTGTATACATTTTACTGCACTTTACCCAACATCAGGCACCCAAAACCAAAAGCTTTGGCCATAATATAGTGGTTTGTACTCTTGCCTTACATTCGAAAACGTCACCAGTTTGAGCCTAGTGGTAACTGATGACTGACTAGTATTGAGTTATCATATACTTGAACTTTCCAGAACAGGACCATAGAAGACGATTGGATGAAAACTTAGACCCAGCGATTTGATTGGCTCAGACTCTCAAATCTTACCTCATAGGAAGCTAATTACCCTTTCATTAACACACAAGAATAGAATTTAGTCAGTTGGGTTGACATAGTACACTTGTACATAGTACACTAGTACTATGGAAATGTGTACATGAGTATCAATAAGTGACTCATTCTAAAAATTTATTTTTTAATTTTCAGATGATGAATTTAGCGACGATCAGTTCTCTGATCCTGAATATGTGAGTTGTGATGATACTGACATTTAAAACTAAACTCTTTTTTTTTTGTAAATTAATATTTCCATTTTAACCAAGCTTATTTCCCCAGGATAATGACACATATGAGGATCCAAACCAAGACAACAGCTATGAACCACCTCCCAGTGAGAGATCGTTCCCCGTGAATCCTCCCTTTTCAAAGGGGGAGTACCTCGGTTAGTCCCATGACTCACCCACTGCTATGTAATCAGAAACTGACCTGTCATCAGGGATTTAAATACGTTTTTATTGGTTGCAGAAACATTCACTTATGTATGTATTTTTATATAATATTTTATGAAGTATCTAATGTATAACACAAATAAATCAGAGTGCCATTTCAGCAGCAGGTGAAATCATTCAACCCTTCAGTGATTTAAACTGGCATTAGATGCAAATGCAATGTCCTTTTTTCACTTCTGCTTTTTTTTCCCAGACAGTTTCCGCAAACAGCCAGCGCAGCCCCCCAGGAAGCCCTTCCGTCCAGGCAAAACCTCCAGACAACTGCCCCCTGAACCCACAGACTCGGGCAGTGACAAAGTAGGCTAACATCATTTAAAAAAAAAAAAAAAAAAAAAAAACTTTTTTAAAGTCTGCAGTAAGTTCTTAAGGTCTTTGATTTCAAATGTTTCTTTGGAGGAGGACTACATGAGTCCAGACGGCCATAACGATGATGACAACTACATAGAACCTGAAGAGCACGAACCCTCCAGTAAAAACAGATACTTTTTTTTAAAGAAATCACAGTGTTGTATAAGTATAACAAACTATAATCAGAAACTACTTCATGCATTTCTTCTCAGAGCCACCGATGCACTGTAGAAGAAGGGAAACACACCTCCCTTTTCGGTCTCCACACACACCAGAAGCTTCATCTAGTCCAGGTACACACATAAGTACTTCATTAATTAACTGTGTTACCCTGTCTGTCATCATCATCACTGCATTAACCTGCACTCTGCTTCCTAAGAGAAATGCAATGCAGTTAAATATGACTCACACTAACTCAGTCTTCCGTGATTCATTTTCAGATTTTTTTGAAGTACTAAATGAAGAGGTGACGTACATTTATTATGTTACTGATTTTATTAACTGATTATTTTCGGAGCTTTTTCAGAGATGATGAAATAATTGAAATGTGTTTGATCCTTGCAGATAGGCTCGTCGTCATCATCATCGTCTCCCTCTAGGTCAGTTTCACATCACGAGACTCCAAATTAACTGTGACTCTGTCATCTCAACACTGGTGCTCTGTAATCGAAATGACTCAAAGTATTACGCGTAGGAGCTTAATGTACATTTATGTCTGTGATGTAGCTCAAGGGTAAAAGCTATAATTCTGAAAGATTTGGTCAAATCTGTGTGTACACTGGGTGTGACTGACAGGAGCCTGGTTTCAGACCACAAAGGCTTGCTAACTCTTGAGTGTGCAGATCCTCAGGCCTGGAAACTCAGCTTTGTCCTAAAACTACATTCCAGCATTTATTACATGTTCAAAATCAAACCTGAAGCCAACCACCTTCTCCCATCTGTCAAACAGACGGTGTCTTGTGTCTTCAAAATCCACATTACAGTTACCTCCCAAACCCAGCCCCAGGTAGGACTGCTTCATTTTAAACTTACATGACAGATCATGTGCATCACTGAATTCAAACTCAATGTTTAACACATTCTTTAAATAAATATATATGTATGTATGTATTTTAAACATTTTCAGAGTAAACAAGACATCACCTCCTACTGTAAGTGCATCATTCTTCTTTTTATACAACTACCTGTAGCCTAGCTTAGCACATTTAGGAAAATGTTTTTATATGTTATTTTTGTGCAGCCCCCGGATCCCACGAGTGATGAGGAATATGCAGTTTGTGATGGAGAAGAAGGTGAGTGTTAAATCTGTTTTTGTCGTTAAATCTCCACTTTATGCTAAGAAACAGCACAGAGAAAAATTAGTCATTAATACTCTATGTTATCCTTCAGATTGTGACACGCCCACAAGGGGTCGCCCTCCACTCCTACCAAATCCTTTGCCCAGAGAGTAAGCCTAAACATCACGCATTTTTATAACATAAAGAATTTGTAATGTGACAGGTAAAACATTTGTTGCTGTTTTTGTAATTATTATTTTATTTTTGTTTTTCTTCCAGAAGATCACCAAAGCCACCTGTCAGGCCTGTAAGAAATGTTTTTACATCATTTATTTTCATTAAGATTTGGGTTTTAATGATGAGCTGCAATGGTATAATGCTGATCTCCTACATGTATGATTTTATTGCAGAACCTAGAGGTCAAACCAAGAAGATTTGAAAGTAAGAGACTTAGCACTGTTGTGAGATGGTTTGTTTTTGTAAACTCAAAGTAAAGAGGTCAAAGTCACACACAAACACACAAACACACACACACACCCACATCCGCCACAGAGTAACCACAAGTAAGATAAATGTCTCATCCTTTAAATGATTTTCAGAGTCTTGTCAGACAAATGAAAACGTGTAATGTAGGACTAAAGGTCAGGTGGAAAAAAAGAAGCTGCTCAAAAATGGAAGTGGAACGTGCTAAGGATTTCACAGGGACTAAGTAGAACAGATGGAGCAGACATGTTTTTAGAAGAATGATTTGTTTCCAGAACTGAGTTAACTGAGTATAAGTTCTCTCTGGGTAAAGCAGGTTAATCGCAGTCCAGAAACATATCATTTGCCTGTTTATATGAAGTAATATTCATAATGACCTGAAGAATCTCCACACCTTGGTCCACTGGGTTATTTTTCTAAGAACGTTTGTTTGGATTTCCACAGGTCATTCACTGCCCGTGATGCAAACTAACCAGAAGGTTCTTCCAAAAGTTTTTTCTCTGGACATTACAAAACCCAAGTAAGTATTGAAGCTGAAGATGAAGTTCTCAAACAGAGCACGCTCCAACCCAGAAGCACTGTACATTCAGTACAAACACAACAACACAGCTAATTTTCTAATCTCTAGATCTCTAGTCAGATCATCCAGTTTTGGCCTATAGCAACTTCAATTTCTTACAAATGTGTCCTTCAAGATATACAGAGAAATAGTTTAATCCATGAAAGGCGTGTTTATTCAACACACTAATCCTTGTGATCTGCTTTTTTTCTTCAATATAGAATACCTGTATTCCAGTTCGCCTCCAAGAGTGAGTATTGTTTTATCTAATATCAGATTACAGACCTGTATCGTAACTCAAAATGTTACAGTATTCATATGTGGTTGCCGTGACATTTTAAATTATCTTTCTGCTAAAGCAGTGGCATGCTTGCATATCATCAATCAACGTGTGGTTTCCCATTGTAACTGATACGAGGTTGACTGAGGTTTTATGATATCCATGGAACAACCGTAATGGTGGTTTTGCCAAAAAAAAAAAAGCTGACGAATTGTCTAGCATGAAAAATACAGGAAGGCATTATTCTATTTATACCATAGCAGGAAACGGTCACTTGAAAACTCCATAGACATCATCCTAAAGCCTTAAGACACTGAAGAGACTAGCAGCCCACTTCTTCATATCCAAACCCACAACATTGCTCTAGCATTTATTTATGTCATGCACCTTTTGAAACAAACTGACCGATGAAAAAACGTCCAAGTCTTGGTCAATAGAGAATTCATCTTTCCAACAAAAAGCATTGTAATCACTGGACTGTACAAATAATATACATATGTAAGGTCAAAGTAAAAAAAAAATTAAAATTTAAAAAATAACTTGAAGTAAAAACTACAATGTATGTTTTCAAAAATAAAGTTCTAACGCTACGCAACTTGTGTAATTTTTTAAAACACAATGTAACATCTGCCTCAGATGCCACAGAAAGAAGGAGGGGTTCTGCTGACAATGGAACAAAAGACGACGATAAGGTGACATGCACAAGTCATACTTCTGGAAGGATAAGAATCTTATCACAAACCAGTGAATGATGATGTGGTAAAAAATGTCTTCTCAGAGTGCAGGGGTCATGAATAAGCCCTGGTATGCAAGCGCATGTGATCGTAAGACCGCTGAGGAGGTTTTGATTCAGACGAATAAAGTGAGTCACAGGATTTATAACTGAACTCAGCCGTACTTCGATTTTATGATGTACAAAGTGAGTTGTATTATGAACTGATGTCTGTTTCAGGACGGTGCATTCATGGTACGGAAGAGCTCTGGTCTCGACGTACAGCAGCCCTACACCTTGGTGGTCTTTTATGGTGGCAAGGTTTACAACATTCCTATCCGTTTACTAGCAAATACTCAGCAGTATGCTCTCGGAAGAGAGAAGAAGGGAGAGGAGGTAAAGTTCACAGACTTATCATCTGCTATTTTTACTATTTTAAATTTGCTCTTTGATGTCATTTGTCTTTCTGTTCCACCAATATAGGAAAGAAATGTTTTTGTCATATTAGGAATGTTGATTTATCTTGATTAATCATAATCAATAAATCTTGATTAATCGTCATTCTTCCACAGCAACTGTGAATTTGGTGGAAGAGAAATTGACAACTGGCAGTTTTATAAATACACTAAAATCCAGACAGCGCACACAGTGATGTGGACCTAACGTTTGTTCAGACAGTAATGTAATAATACAATAATATTAAAGAACGCTAACCTAACCATTCACTCCTCTCTTCAATTCAGTATTTCAACAGCATCGCTCACATAGTTGAGAACCACCAAAGAACTCCACTGGTGCTGATTGACAGTCAGAACAACAGCAAGGATTCCACCAAGCTGTGCTTTCCTGTAACACCGTAGATGAATCCAGCAACAGCAAAGATATCGGACTTTACTCAGCCTGACATTTCCTCTCACAGTGTTAGGCGCAGTGACTGTGCAGCGATTTTCTCCATGACTGTTGAGGTGCCGTCAACAGTACTGGTCATGTGGCAGCAGAGCAGAAGAGACTACAAACACATTTCTGCTCATGTTTTATTAATATTTTTAATGCTCTGTCAATAAACAGTGTATCAAAATTAATGCAAGGAATGAAAAGCGTTGCTCTAGCACAGGGAAGCATGCAGACAAATAATGCGGTTATTACAGCAGTACTCCGAATAGCCAAAAAGCACAAAATTGTAAAATTTTGTTTTTCAATAAAACTGTCTTTTTTCCTGCATCATAGTATTACTCAAAGTAAATCTTCAGTCACAAGAATATACTACCAGAAACTGACAACAGCCCTGTTTTGTCTCTATTAGAATGAATACATTTGTCCTACTTGTGCACATCGGTTGCATAACAAAAACTACAAGGCACATGGTGAAAATCCTCCGGTAATCTTTTACAGTACCTCTATACAACTTTTTTTTTTAAACGTTCTCATAATAAAGTGAAAAAAGAATGTGTGCCTGTGTGTGTGTATGTATGTTTATATACATACAGCATGTCAGCAACACTCCAGCTCTCAAGAAAACATGCACAGTTGAGATCGTCTGTCATGGACAGGAGCCTGAGTTCCCTTTGCTGCAAATACTTAGAGGTCATGGCTTCATATGGAAATGTTTATCCACATTAGGACGCTGGACCAGATTGTCAAAGGCCTGATGAGGTCAGGTAAGAGGAAATATAAACTCTATCTTTATAGTGCAATTAAGAAAATAAGATTATCATTTCAAGTCAAAAGAGATTAACTTTTGTTTAAGAATGACCAAATCACCCATGCCTTCTGAAATATACTTTTTCTGTCCTAGTCTTTCTAGTCAATAGTTATCTTTTTATTTAAAAAAAAAAACAGATTTTAAGAGATACCTGTCCAACTAAATTGATTTTTCATTTTTATTTTTAATAATTTTAGACTATATACATGATTTCCACAATCATTATTATTCTTCCAAAGGGCAACCAAAAGCACAAGGATAAGCAATACACTCTGAACCTAAAGTCATAAATAAATGTTATATATAAACAGCTTATTGTCCTTTTTAATACAAAATCTTGGTGTATCTGAGTAACCTGTGGGTCTCTGTGTCCCATTCCAAAAACATAAATATTATAGCTACCACACTGCATAGCCTACCCGTACATAAACTGATCCATAAAACTCAGATGGTATGGCAAATAAACATATTACAGTGTTTCATAAAAGACTCCATGACAGTGTATGTAAATCACCTTAAATAAAGTTATGCTTTAGACATGTTACAAAAGAATACAAATACCTAAGTTGACAGCACCACATCATTGTGACTGCACAAACTATTATAAACCTACTAACAGTTTGCATCGAGCTACTCGTGTTGGGAGACAGAGAGACAAATGAAAAGAAAATGTCCACGTGACCCTGAGAACACAAACTCTCCAGGAGGCATGACAACGATTCCAAATTTTCAATAAGACTGAGGAAACTGGTGATCACAGCTTCCTTTTTTGTTGTATTGCAAAGTAATATATTTTTCCAGACTTGTTATGATTTCCATCCAGTGTGTGTGACATTCAAGAGTTTTCACAGTTCTGCCTTTTCCACTCCAGCAGATGTCGCTGCCGATGGACCATCCACATCTCCTGACAAACAAAGACCCTGCCACAAAACCAGCAGCGAAAGCTTGTGGCAACCTCACCGCCAAGAGAGGCTGCACCCACAACTTCATACTTCTTTCTGTTTAAGCGGCGGAATTTCAACTTCAAAATAAACCTTTCTTTTACAGAGTTTTTGATCATCCCGACAGGGTCATATGCCTGAGGGTGCTCACTGCTTACAGATGAGAGAGCATTCAGAGTCCTGTGGGACAATATGACCTTATTCACCTCCCCTTTGTACCTGTTGACAACCTCCATGATCTTGGAAACTTCAGGGATTTCAGCATCCGGGTGATTAAGCACCACAACCGGCTGGTCTCCTGCTGGACGCTTCACCAACTGAGATGGATTAATGGCTACTAACCTCAAGGTCCTCTCCTGGTTTTTTTGAACCTGGTGCCGAAATGTCAGTGATGGTTCTGGTTGGATGGCTTCCCCCTCTGGCAAAAAAATACAGCCCTGTATTTTTGAGCAGGATTCCACAGGCCCTTCTCTGTCACTGACCAACTCAACTTTGTGGTTACTGTGTTCTGATGAAACAGCAGGGCTTGATTCAAGTTGCGTTACCTCACCTGTGAGAGAAAAAAGCATAAAATGTCTTTTGAAGAGGACAGAAATTTAATTAGACTTTAAAAAACAAATTGAAAAAAATCTGGTTGCATAATAAGTGTATTTAAAAAAAGCATAATAACACAGTGCTGCAGCTGATAACCACTAGATTATATAAAGTTCAATGCAGACCACAGAAAAACACACATACCCAAGAGATAGTGATGTGTGTACAACCTGTAAACAACAGACACCAGGACAAAAATATCTTCATTTAACAGAAAGGACTACAGCTTTTGTTACAGTTGATATAATCACTCCTGCTATATTTGAACATGGGATCCTACTGCTCACACACTACCTACGACCCATACAGTAAAACAGGAGTGAGGGACCAGCACAGAGTGGGGTGTGCAGGAACGATCCGCCATTCCAACCATAAGTGTTGTGCAGCAAAAGTGTAATGTAAAAGCACTTGCAACCATAGGACCAAGGCATTCTAAATGCATTATAGCACCACCTGCTGGAATTAAAAGCTACATGCATTTAAAAACACTATCTCACATACTACATCTTTAACGCTGTAGTACCTGTTGATAAAATTACAACGGGTGAAATTATAAACTACTAAGTTAACATAAACTATAATTTTCCTTCTTACCCTGTGGTGTAATAACAGGTTGGGAACCAAGGCAGGATTCAGAGAAGCCGCTTTGACGAGCCAGTGTCTCAGCTGCTGAAGTCCTTTTATCATTCGACTTATGACAAACAGTACCAGTGTCTGATGTTTGGACTAGCCGTACGTTGTTGGGGCTCATCTTTTCTTCAGCTCCTGCTACAGTTGTTATATTTGTCTCTGTCGTCTTAGCAGCAGATATTCTTTTGTGATCTCCCATTTCATAAAACTGTACAACTTTCCCAGAGGCATCGCTCCTATTTTCATTTTCAGACAGCAGGCCTTCACGTGCATCGGGTTCACAGCCGTCTATGTTTTCTGACCCAGCCTGCTGTGACATCGAAGTGATGGCCTCATCAAGATCAGTATTAGAGGTTTTGGTCAATTTCGGCTGGTGAACCTTTGAGGTCTGTGTATTTTCCAGAATCTGTGCCATGGAGTCTGCTACGGTGGGAGACAAAACACTTTCTGACACCCATTGCTTCTCCTTCACAGGATTTTTCTTCAACACAATTCTTAGGGGAATCCCTGTGGATTTCCTGTCCACCCTTGTAGATGTGGTATTTCTTGTACAAAATTGATTTTCACCCATCAACAAATGGTCTTTTTGAATGGACATCTGCTCTTTGCATTCATTTGTCAAATTTAACTCAGGGGAGATATCAACAATGTTGTCAGGCATATGATCCTTGTCTTCCTTGATTTCCATATCACTCTCTACATCTTGCAGCGGAGGGATTTCGTTTTCCTCCATTTGAGTAGACTCAGTTGTCTCACTCTGGGCTGAAACTAAGACATCATTGTGGAGTTTGGTTTCATGCTGTGGATAAAGTAAATTATCATTCACAGTTGACTGACACCCATTTTGGTCAACTATCAACCTATTATCAAAAGCACTTTCGGGGACGACAGATTCTTTATCCGATGTCGCCATTTTTTTTAACCTTTTGGCATATGTGGCACCATTCTGTGACACAGTTATCTTGTTTTTGACTGTAAGCACAGTAAGATCAGGTGAGATCGACATGATGCAATTCTCTGATTTAGGGTGAAGAGTCATATCTTGAGGAACATTGGACAAGACAGTTTTGAGAGCCTTGGTCCATTTTTTGTCTCCAGCTTCCACAGTAACGGATTTCATCAAAAACTGCTTTGTCTCCTCTAGTGTTGTTTGTGGATCTGCCAGAGGGCAGTATTTATCCAGGAATTCTCTGCCAGGTAGAGACAGACAGTCCTGGGTCAACCAGCACATTTCCCTAACCGCACTTCTTGTTAATCTGGGATTCATTTTTGGGATCAGTTCATTTGGTTCCATTGCAGAGTTAATCTCCTTTTTCTTTTGCCTTCTATCGCCATTCTGGCAAGCATGGGTAGTTTTAATGTGCTTAGTAAGCAACCATTTGTGAGATGCCTGAAAGCCACAGTGTTGACAGCATAACGTGGTTGATTTATTGCCAGACATGTTCTTCTCCATTGTGTGAAATAAAAAATTATCGTTTACTTCACTAAGCCCTAAATTATGTAAACACAAGTGTTCTAAAAATACTCTAACATCACCTGTGGAAAATCCATGACATGTTTCACACGAATACTTGCCATTTTTGAAGTGACACATGGTCAAATGTGCACTGAATTCAGACCATGTGCGTTGAACTCTATCATTACAAAAGCTGCAACTAGAAAAAGTGTCTTTGTGGCTCAACAGATGAATCTGTAGGTAGGAAAAGTCATGTGTACAAAAAGTACACATATGACAAGAAAAAACAGGTGGGCTTTCTATGTGTTTATCTTCAAAGTGTTTCATCAAGTCCTTGGGGGAATATTCCACATTGTCAATGCATTGACAGCATTTGAATCGAAGCATATTCTCATGGTGATTTGTCACACGCTGACTTTCTTCCTCAGATGTCTTCTTTGTTGAAGGCCAAACTTTGCTTTGCTCCCATTCTTCTGCTATCTTCTTTGGTCCACACTTATCTTTACTTTGCATAGTTGGGGGCTTAACGGCAGCCTTCCTGAGGTGGAGTCTTTTGCGCCAGTTTCTACCCTTCTTGTTGAAATGCTGTTTTGTACCCCTTACGGAGGTAGCTACAGAAATATCCTTTTCATCCATGGGAATCAACTTTCTGAAAAAGCAGCAAAATAATGACTTTACTTTCAATTAAGAGCAAACATTACATTTCACTTGTGTCTTCATAGACGCACTAATTAAATTTAAATTTTTGTTTTATCTCTTATTCATGTAGTATCGCTTTTTGTATCTGTTCACTGATACATGCTATTTTCTAACCAAGGTCGGGCAATGACCTAAACCATGTGATGATTAGATTTTGCAATATAATAATGCATGTCAGATGACAATATAAAAAGGTCCATTGTTTAACATGATATTCCACATTGTATTTTGTGGTGGATTGAAATACACTTGCATGTCATAACTTGACCTCCTTTTGAACAGACATTTTGAATCGGGTAGAAGAAGGTTTTCAGTACAAGTTGGACAAGTGACTGAAGCTAGTCAAAAATAACAATGTTACTAATTTGTGAAGATTAATCAAACTTAACTCTAATAATTTGAATAGCTGTTTATTGTTGCTCTGATACACAGTTAATGTACACACTGCCTCACACAAGTGCTACATGTTTAAAATACCATCTTAACTTCCAGAACAGTTTTGCAGACTTTAATTACAGATTGGACACTTGGCTTGCATTAGACCATTAGCTTCAGGGAGTTTTACTTGACTTAAATGTTGATTTATCTCAATTAATCTTGAATAATGAGAATTTGCAATCAGGATTAATTGTGATTAATACCCAACGATACTGTGATTAATCGGAAAGTGAAGGCTTTTGCATCATTAAGCATATGCCAAAAACTATCTACTTAAGATGTATATTTTGAGCAGGCGTATAAAAAATGTTTTCAAATTATTCATATATATGGTTACTTATACTGGACCTTGCAAGAATGATCTCCTTTCCTGGTTCACATCTACATTCAGGGTAAATAACTATTTGAGGAAAATTGCAAAATGCACAGAAAGTAAGAATACACTGTCTAAGTTTAGTGGTTTAAATGTATACTGGCAGTGTGAACAGCATTTGCTTGAAATAGCCCCAAACAAATTTATTCACTTATAAGTGTATTGTTATATTCAGTTTTATATATATATATATATATATTCGCTTATAGTGTTGTATGTTCACATAGTAAATGTTTATTTTCTTTTTAGTCCACCTGTTGCTGACCTCGAATAAAGCGGACTCTCCATAAATATTAATTCACCACGCTGGAACCAGGTGGAATCATGGAACTTAGATTGTTATCAGTCACTAGGTGCAGCCAACTGCACTAACACTCACCTGCTCACACAGTAGTTTTGAACTTCATGCATTGTTCGAATAGGTGCACTATGACACGGTCGGTGGTGTGATATAACCAGAAAATGTCCAAAATACATTCGTGCACGAGTATGAAATCTGCTATAAAGCCCGTTGGGGATTATTTGGCACCATAATAATGGAGGAATAGTGCCTCCATTGTGCAGTTTGACTTGACCACAACAAAGTGATGAGGCTGCTTTTGTAACAAGCAACAAACGCCTTGGGAATAGTGAAGTTGTGGCTAAACTAACGAGGTTCTGGTTCCGCTGAAACTCGCATGCACGTCTACAGAAACACAGCGTTGTTGGCTTTAAGCCTTGCCGTTTATTGCAATAGCGATTCGGTGATTTGAATTAACATGACGCACAAAGACGAAATAACTTGAAGAATAAAAAAACGTAGCGACAAAGTTACGCCAAACGCGTTTTTTCAAGCCTGCATCGACCACATGTCGTTGATAAAAAGTAGTAGTCTTACACACAGAGAGAGTAATTATTAATGTAGTTGTCTCGGATTTTTTTTTTTTTTTTTTTTTACCTTTTCTTTTGTAGAGAGCTTGACAGCTCAGCGAGTGGCAGCCATGATGGTTTCATCCGGGGATTACAGCCTCTGAGCTTCTTTAGCCTTTAGCCTGGTTCCTCCGACACAGAGCTGTGTGCTGTCCCAGGCTGAGTGATATAACAAACAAACAAACACAACGCTGATTTAATTTAGTACTTCAGAAGTTTTGTTTAAAAAATGTACATTCATCTTTTGCTTCAGCATGAGATTAAACCACATTAGTATGACAACAAAAATGTGCGTTTTAGTGAGGCCTCCCTCCTGACAAATTGTTGTGACGTTTTGTTTTTTTTTGTTCGTGTGCCTCCAAAGCATGTCTCCCATGTCAGTGTTGTCTTGGTGTCATATGGTGTTAAAAAAGGAACTGTTTTGTAAACCTTGAACTTGTGACCAACCATCAATCTTTCTGGTTTTCTTTCTGGTATAAGAGATGGGTATTTAATTAAGGCCTAATTTCTTATTAAATTATCAATATGAATTCTGCTTTACACATTCACATTGAACATTGATAAAATACAAGGAAAAATACACTTTCATGTCCCTATCTCTCTCTCTCTCTCTCTATATATATATATATACACACATATATATATATATATCTTGGTTCTGGAAGCAGATGTTAGAAAAGAGTATAAATACATGGTACTGATCAAGGCCATGTATAAAGAAACATGGATCCTGCCTTATTTCCAAAATTGAATATCGTTGCCCATATCTAATTTGACTGCAACACAGTTTTTTCTATTAAATTTAAATCATATTTTGTAATTCTCATTTATATTTGTGTCTTTGATCTAAAATCTAAAACAGCAAGAAATTAAAAGTAGGTCACTTATACTGGTGTTATTATCGTACTCTTAAAGGCCATTCTTTCCACCTGAAACCTAACATTTTAATTTTGGTCATTGCTGGACTCAAGCTGCAACATACTACAAGCTCAGAAGAAAGTTGGTGCTTCAGGCAAAAGGCCATTAAAAATGTATGGTATTATTATTATATGCCATACGCTCAGTGGGTTTCCAGAAAATACAAAATAATTTTGAAGTTGAATGTAAAACATCCAGCTATTATTTCGTTCTATGCACATATTGCTACATAAGGTCTAATATTCTTATTTACTAAAAAATCTCTTGCCAGAAGTTTTGCATGTACAGAAATGCTGACATTTAGCCTAGAGGTTTCATGAAGAGGGGAAAGTCATACAAGAAATGGGAAGGAACTGAGGAATTGAGTGAAGGAATTTAGTTGTAGCACATTCATTACCATCTAAAAATAAATAGTCAATACCCTTGTTGTTATGTTGTTACTTCCAACGGTGGCTTCAACTTCCAGTCAGACTGATCAATATTGTTGCAGACAATGGCGAGTTGCAACTCTCAACCTTTTCTACAAATGAGGATATATAGTAATTATTTAAATCCGACAACTGTATGGCAGAAATTATCATTGCTTAATTATTTGGACAAGTCACCAAATTAAAACAGCAGGTGTTTCATCAATATACAGAAAATGATGACTGAGGATTTCCCTTAACTAGCTATGATTGATCATGGTCAATTATGTATAATCCATAGCTGCCGTGTGATTAACGTGATTGAAACTTTAATCTATGTGTTGAGTAAGTTGATTGAAATTCCTTCAAAATGATGTGAAAAAACTTCACACAGAACATGTCTGTCATTACTGCTAAAGATGGTTTTACAAGCTGGAATCATGGGGTGTACTTTGATTTTCACGACAGTTTCTCCATTTTGATGTTGTTAAATGAAGGATGCAATATTTTGTGTACTTGAGCTACCCTGTGATTAATCAGATAAAATGTTTTTCATTTGCCAGCCCTTTGAGGTGGCTTAGTGGTTAAGGAAGTGGACTTGGTTCTGGAAGGCTTCAGGTTTGAGTCCTCCAGCTGCCAAGTTACCACTGAGGTGCTCAGAGCATGGCACCGTCCCCACACACTACTCCCCGGACACTTAAAGCTGCCCACTGTACACTTTGGTGATGGGTTAAAAGCAGGTCACATTTTGTTGTGTGCAGTGGTGTGCTGTGTCACAATGACAAGTAGTTCACTTTCCTTCCTTCTTTATATTTATATTGTAGTATAAGTGTATAAATGTGGGTAGGTAAGCAATATAAATTATGTGAATTATATATACACACATGACATCAGAATACTTGGTTTATGATGAAATTAAGTTTTTAGTTAAGTAGGAGTCAACACGTCATTACTGCCTGCAGTCCCATTTGAAATACTAAGCCAACTTCACTGTATAAAATGCTGTATAACCAATGGTCGCCACTCCAAGATTCAAGTTATTGATTAGACACTGATGAATGATCACTGCAGGAATTTCACCCACCTTACTCTTCTGTTTAGAAAAAGTTTAATTTCCAGGATTGGAGTTTGTACGTCAATATTGCTGAACGTTCGATGGCACCATCTACAGGCCGTCGCTGATACACAAGGAAAAATACTAAAATTCAAATAGTAGTAGAATTTATTCAAATTCTACAATCATTAACAAAAAGCAGCAATTACAGAAATATGTACAAGTTTTTTTTCTCCTATTTTAAAATACTTGTGACATGAGAGATTGAAAATGAAACTTCTGCTTCATGTGCAGCACTCCCGCAGGCTGCTGTTACACTGGACATCGTACAATAAGTTCTCCACCACAGCATTTCCGTGGCCACAGGTCAAGTGAACAGCTTCTCGTAATGAGAGTAAAAAGAACAGCGCCACATGGAGGATCAGAGTTCTCCTGTAGAGTAACAGCTTGTTGTAAAATCCACCACACGGTTTCTCCTGCACATCGTGCCTCCACACCCGATTCTCTTTCATCATAGATGTTTGTGTCCCTGGGAGGAACAGATGTGTCGACAGGAGCACCCGGCTGCAGCGGAGCTTCAAGACTTTGTGATAACAGGAGGAAAAAGGAGGAGAATTGGTAGGAGGAGCAACGGTAGTTAATGTCTGAAGTCTGAGTTAACACTGTGTGGTCTGGCAACGAAACATCAGAAGGTGACATGACGCCGAGACTGTACAGTTACGTACACTAGGAACTGTAAAAGCAAAACCATCACCAAAGAGAAATGGTGAAACTGTTTACTACTTTAACACTGAAGGTACTTCATAACTGGGCAGGTTTGTTAAAAACCTGATGTTTGTCTCGATTTACAAAGTGTGTCACATCTATGTTTAGTTCAGTAAATGTTTCATCACTACTGCAGTAAAGCTCTCCACTCTGGAAAACTAGGCATGAGTTCTCTTTGTAAGCGTGCTTTAATTATTGGTTTGGGACAGCTGACTGTTGCTATGATCTGCGTGGGACAGCTAATTGTTACCATTATCTACATGGGACACATTATTAGCTTTCTGTGTTTGTTTGTTTTTTTTCTTTAAGGAAAGTGGAGATAATAAGTGCAGCAGTCTGATGTCATCATGTTCTCTGACCAGGTCCTGCTTGGCCAGGACATGAGGATAATTACTGCAGAGAGCTCATGAAGCTGTCCAGACTGTACTCTGTGTCGTACTGCTGCTGGTCCCATAACTCTCCCAGACCGTCCAGCACCGTCTTCATGGAGGCCTTCCCTGAGGTTGATGGTGTTTGATCACCTTTGTCTCCTTTCTGATCCTAAAATAGTCACGTTAAAAAAAAAAGCCAGTAGAGGTTAATTGGTTGAGAAAAGCTGCATCAACATGCTAACTATTTAAATCCATCTCAAAACTACTATGAGATGATTCATCAAAAAACTATTAGCCAATCACAAGGTGGAAAGGTATATAAATAAAAGTATAATGATTTCATGACTTTGAAGATGATAGTCCCACACCAGCTTGTCTTGACTGTTAAAAAGAATGCTAATATTTGCAAATGCCATTATTTTTTTAGATTACACAAAATTGAGAAGGACAAACTTGGTACTGGGCATGATTCATAGATGGTTAATTGTATACAGCGTTAAGAATCTTGACAGTAATCAGGACAAAAAACACCCAGGGTTTCAATGTACATTAAATACTCAAATAGTAATTTGAGTCTCACCTTGTCCAGTGTGAAAAGGTTGAGGACCTGGTCTGTGCCCATGCTCTGCAGACTGGCATTCTCTTGACTAATGATGGTGTTGGCGATGCTCATCTTGAACTTTTGAAGACCCATTATCTTCTCCTCCAGCGTTCCCCGTGTGATCAGTCTGTACACGTTCACCACACGTTTCTGCACAAAGACAATGACCAACAAAAAGAAAAGATCACTGTGTGACACAGCCACACCTCACTTACAATTTAAATTGATGTAGTTTTCCACACCACTGGTTTCATACAAAAGCAGAAATGTCACACAATCTGATGGTATAGGGTTTAAAGCAAATAATGGATCAAGGAAAGACGATGACTGTGCAGATACAGAGGCATCTAGACCTCAGAGTGACGTGCATTTTTAAAGTCATCAAAGACTCCATTATCATGCTGAGAACCTAGTTTTTGTTTGGACACAGTACCTGTCCTATCCTATGGGCTCGGTCCATAGCTTGTAGGTCCCTCATAGGGTTCCAGTCATGTTCCACAAACACCACAGTATCTGCACCAGTCAGGTTCAGACCAAGACCACCGACATGGGTGGTCAGCAGCAGTACGTCAATGGATGGATCATTGTTAAACCTGCATTACAGAAAAGGTTGAATGTTAGTTATACTTTAATTTAACTTCTGTGGAAGGATTTTGATCAGTTTATTTAAAAAAAAAAAAAAAAAATTTAAATAAATGAAGGACCTGGAAACAATGGAGTGGCGCTGGCCAGCTGGTACACTGCCATCCAGCCTCAGGTAGGTGACTGAAGGCAATTTGGGTTTTAGCAGGTCATGCTCCACAATGTCCAACATGCTCTTCAGCTGACAGAAAATGAGAACACGGTGCTGGGCGACCACCGCCTCGGTGCCACCTTCGGATCCTGCTCCGCCTCCGAGACCACAGTCCAACAGTAACTAGAAAAGCAGAAATATAAAAAATCAGACATTCTGATTTCATAAAAAACTTTTTTGTGACAGATAAAGTGAGCTGAACAGAGTAGTCACCTGTTTCAGAGCAGAGAGTTTGGGGGCATGCTGCAGGTCTCTCAAGTTTGAGTTTTGACCTGCAAGTTGCTCAATAATGCGTTTGTACTCGGGATGCTGTTGAGTCAGGACTAAGCTGGGGTGGTTGCACAGCTTGCGCAGATACTGTAGGGCCTGGAAAAGGAAGGAAAAAGAGATAAGAGATATAACAAATTAAAGGCCCAGTAAATTTAACACATTTTGAGCGTTAACAAAACAGCAGAACCAATTCCAAATGAACGGTCACCCAAATTTACACATGTTGCTGACTGAAGTATAAAAAACAAAAAATACAGAAAGAACCCCGTAGTATTACAGAATTAGTGTAAAAATCGTCACCTGAAAGACGTGGCCTGTAGCTTTCAACTTGGGTTTTTCCTCCTCTTCTGTGGAGGCTACATTGATGGTATCCTCCACACTGGCTTTGGCTCGAGACTTGGCAAAGTCCTCATACAGCTGAATCTGTGGGTGTTGAGAACAGGCCAAGTTGTTATGTTACTGTCTTTGTGATGTCTTTGAGATGTTAAAATCCTGTAAAAAATGTTTACACTTTACCTGTAAAGGACTTAGGTTGCAATAATAATCTTGAATGATTTTAGGAGGAAGATCCTGCAGAACATCTTCCTTCATCCTCCTCAGAAGAAAAGGTAGTACTTGTCGATGTAAGGCCTCCATTGCCAAAACGCCTGCAGGAAAGAAATGTTGACTGTTAAATCGATATAAATGGTATTCACAAATACTTTCAGGTCAATGTACATATTAAAAATGAAAGAAAAATAATACTGAGAAAAAAAAATGCAGACATACCGGCCTCCTGTTCCCGTGAGGAACTTTTGGCATCACGACTGGCCAAGATTGGTTTACCGTAGCGTGCAGCAAACTGCCGTTCTGTTCCCAGGAATCCTGGCATGAGGAAGTCAAACAATGACCAGAGCTCCAGAACATTGTTCTAGGGAGAAAAATAAATAGGATTTTAATTGTAAACATACAAAGGAAGTATGATAAAATAAAAAAATCTAAGATAGCACCTCACCTGAATAGGTGTTCCTGAGAGGATTACTCGAAAATTGGCAGCCAACTGTTTAATTGCCTTAGAAAGTTTGGTTTTCCCATTTTTGATCACGTGACCCTCATCAAGAATACAATAATTGAACTTGATATTTCTGGAAAATTAACCAAAAATATTTGAATTACCCGAGACACTAACACATCCAACGTGATAGCCAATGTTAACGTATGTATTAAATACTCACTTAAAAAAGTCAATGTCGTTTCGTACAACATCATAAGAGGCTACTATAAGATTGTGTTTCTTCACCTGGTGTTGCAACCTGAAAAGATGAGTAATAAGGTTGGAATTCATCGACATTCCCAGGATGTAAATAAAGCCTTTCTTATAAAAATATAAATGTTTAACCTCTAGGCTAAACATCAATGCCAAAAACTCAAACATTACACAAATCATCCAAATGCAGTCAACTGATGAACACTCACCGCATTCTCTCTGTGGGAGGCCCAGTGTAGTGCAGCGGATTAAGGTACTCTCTGCTGCAGAATTTGCAGACCTCATCAATCCAATGACCAGTCAGTGTGGGAGGACACACCACCAGAGAGGGCATTGGGCTGCAATCGGCAGCTTTAGTCTTGGCATATTTCTGAGATCTGTAAAATAGAACAAAAATCATATTCAGAAGTTGAACACAGCACCTAAGACGAGCGCGTAAGACATAATGAATGTGCAGCTGTGGTTAGGTTTTGTGTACAAGTAATGCAAATTCTGAATCCTCATTAAAGTAGGACTGGAAGTATGGGTGGAGTGAAGGGAAGGGTTCTGAGAATCACACACGTTGTCCTGTCTCAGAGTGGGTGAAAAATTAAAGCCTGATTTTTTTCCAGATGTCAGAATATATTAAACAAAATCTACTTGGTTCTCCAAACTGGCAATTAGTGTTCTCAATGCATTAAATTATTCTGAACTTTCTGAATAAGAAGTTTACCTGAGGTAGTGATCCCCTGCCAGAATGCAGATGGACTGCAGGGTCTTTCCGAGACCCATGTCATCACACAGGATTCCATGAAGCTTGTATTTGTTAAGGAAAGCCAGCCAGTTCACTCCATCCTGCAAAATATGACAATCTGTCACTGGCCAGGCTGATACCACACTGCGTATTAAAACAAATGTGCAGCCAATTTGTGTGTAGAGGAACTAGTTTCACACTGTTGAGGACATAAAATGATCTTTGATTTGTATTCATCTATATTTCTCAATTTAAATAGTAATGGTTTAAGCAAAAGTACAGTTTTCAATAGCTGAAAAAAAGTGATTATGGCACACACACACCTGCTGATACTTCCTGAGTTCAGCCTTTATAGGCAAAGGAATCTTGTAGTTTTCCAACTTTCTCCCATCCAACAATTGTTCAAGAAACTGGCGTTCCCTGGCTTTCTGGCGAATGAGGTCAGCAGACATGGCGGGAGGGTCTGGTATGCCTGCCTGGGTCAATAATCAAACACACAATTAATAAATAAAAACACCGATAACTGTGGCCATACAGTTAGCAACTGAACTGTCATATACACTCAAAAAAGTGTTTAAATTGTGAGCATTTACCTCGAGCGGCAGCAGACGGATGAGTGTAGCAAAGCACTGCGTGGCCATGAAACGAATGGTATCACTGGGGTCACTCATGCGGCCCAACACTGGTACAACCAGCAGCACGATGTATGGTACAATGTCCACATCCAGCTGCTCCATGACACCTAGTGCCACTAGTCAAAGAAAATCTTTATACAGAAGTGACTTAATGAAATAATACAGTTAAAACTGCATTACAGCAGTATTGTTTTCCAATGTACTTCTGTAATTAGCTTCATTAAGACAGTAAATGGATACAGGCTAATGCCTCGATGGCTCCTTCCTGTTTGGTGCAGTCATCAATAGCAGCTAACCAGGGAAGCACACGCTCAAGGAAACTGTTCATGGTCTCTAGCATTGCCAGTTTACTTAACACACCCACACAACGTGCAGCCATGTGACGCACAGATGTGTATGGATGCTGCAGGCAGGTGAACAGATGTGGCAGGTGCTCCAATACCTGGAGAGAAACACAGAAAACCTTTATCAATTTTTTTCCATTCACTGAAGCCTTTTCAAGACGCTCTTATTATTTAGTACTGCTGTAGCAAAACGTTTGAAACTATTTCTGTAAATGAGGGAGAGAGTAGTGTCCTGCCAATCATACCAGAGGCTTGAGTTCAGATGCCATTGCCCCGGCAATGACTTCCAAAACCTGCAGGGAGTTCACCAGTTCCTGGGCCGCAGCATCTCCTCGTTCCAACTGGATCTTCCTATCTAAAACAAAAATGACTCAATGAGTATCTCTAAGCAAGGTTGCAAAATCGTATTTAAACCACAGCTACAGTATATATACACCAATATTCTGTAGGTTAATTGTACATCAAAACAAAGGCTCAGTAAAATAAAACTGTTGCATCAACAATGGCTGCATCATGGTGCCATGTCAAATGCAGTAGTCAGCAGGATTTAGCACCATTTAAAAGCTTTAGGGTGTTTATACAGTATGTATGACTTGCCCAATTTCACTGTTACGAAATGCGTTTGGAGGCAACAACCTCTGAATCTATGAAAGATTTAACTCATAATTAACTCAGTCTTCATACCAATCGAGTGATTTTCAGTCACCACGGCTCTCAGTGGCCCCACCGTGTTGTCCCAGAGGTATGGTAGAGATTTGATGAGCTCTGCACCAAAGTGCCTGGCAACAGTTGTCAGGGAGAATTCTCCCCCTCGTCTTTGAATAAGAAACGGCTTCCTGCTCTAAAAATAAACATAATATAAGAATTGGACAAAATGTGGTAAAACACGAGTTAAATGTGAGAGGAAAATCACTCAGTAACCATCTCTACCTCGTCATTGTCAGTAGTGATGGAGCTGCCTGGAGGATATTCTTGGGTGGGGGCTTTTGGGGCTTTAGGTACTGGTCCCCTTTTACTGGTGATGGCAAAAGCTGCTTTCTGGTGACGGTACAGTGTGATAATTCCACGGGTTTTGTTAACCATGTGATTCATGCCATCTTTCTCCAGCCCCACAGCTGTTAGTATAAAAAAAATAGAAACTTTGATTAACACAAAAAACAGATCAGGTCATTAAAGTAAAGACTACGCAACAAGCTACATCACTGGAGATTTTTTTTTTTTCTGTAGTTTAGAAATATTATCATTAAGTGTCTATGTTAAAAAGAAACTTCAATAAAATGAGCTTAAGTAAGGGTAATTTAAATCACAGATAAGTTTTAATAATCTAATAAGTTTTTAAACATCTTGCCTTTTGCATTTTCCTGTGTGGGAGACACGGGAGAAGCAGATGAAGGTGTGACTAAAGAGTCCACACAGGCTGAAGCACAAAGATTTTTGATGATTTTAGGGTTAGGGCAGGGAGAACGTCCTGTGCACTGCTGCAGCAGTTTGGCAATAAAAGCAGCAGCATAACCCTGAATCAGAGTGTTCTCCTCTTTCTTAATGACCTCCATTAAGGGTCGGACCAGAGGGTTGAGTTTATCAGGAAGGACTTGCAGGTTGATCACGGCGCAGGCTGTGAACATGTGGACGCGCAGATGAAGCTGTTGCCACTCTGCACTTGTTTCTGTCACTGTTGCCTGAGCCTGCTGCCGTTTACTGTCCAGGGCCTGCCATTGTTTAGACTTCACATTCAAGCCTGCTGTTGACTCACTAAAAATTGTGGTTACCTAGGGAACAAGGGAATGGAGAAAGTGATTGGTTAAAATGAGAGAACATTTTTACCCTTAGGAGCTGTAAAAACTAGCTGAGGACATTGAGGGAAGTAGACTTCGTGAGATGATTTACATACCAGTTCATTGGCTTGGTCTATAGTAAAAACATTACAATTGAGACGCTCTTGAACATCTATCTGGGCGTCAGCGAGCAGCGCAATAAGCTGCTTGCACTCATTCTGCATACGTGTGAAGGGAATGGCAATCTCATCATAGTACAACTGCTCGGACAGAATGGCCAGGAGTCGAGGCTGCACCATGGACGACACCACCTGACAGTCCTGACAGAGAGGACAGGTTAGAGATTTAAAAGGTAAACAAGACTATTTCAGCCTTAAACCACATTTGAAAAATGGTAATTCAAAAGAGATTTACATAACGAGAAAAATCAAAGCTTAAACTTTTCACCTTCTGTAACGCAGCCCACTCGCACAGCACCAGAGACACAGCTATGCGCTGTAGGGCGGACTTGGAGTTGAGGTGGAACAGCAGGAGCTGACCTAACGACTCAGCTGGTCGGATCTCCTGGGATGCAGCATTTAGCTGAGGGTCACAAATACACCTACATAAAGACCCCAGCAGCCTAAATAATAGAAAATAAGAAGGGCAGAGAAGCACAATCAGACTCAAGCATTAAATAAATTTAAGTCACTTAAGTTATTTTCTTACATAAAACCAAAAAGAATTGAACATTTCTTTGGTGGACTTACTTGGCAGCCATTAGACGAGCTCGGACAACTGCATAATCTCTTGTCCCTGGATCTTCTGTAACGGTTTCTGCACCTGCTATATATTCCTGGACCGTTTCCTTCACCTGGTTGCCTCCTTGACGTGCCTTTGATCCAGCCTTATTGTTACGTGAACATAATTAACACATTTAAATTAAATGAGCACAATTTCCAGATCTGTATAACATGAATGAGGTCAACTGGTGGTTCCTGCCAAGTTGAAGTTAGCCACACCTCATTTAGTTTACTCTATCTATATATATATATATAAAAAATATCATATGTATAATGTAGGTTACTAGTGAAATTGGCATTACTTTTACCATCCTAACAATTAAAATCCTTTTGTACATGTAAGACTTAAAAAAAAAAATTAAAAAAAATACTACAATTAATCTAGTGGTGAAGACAAAGTAATACCTTTGAGCGTGCTTTCACTTCCAGCAGCATGTTGAGGTCTATGGGGATGTGTGAGGCCTGCATCATGAGACAGAGCCATGCACCCATCCACGGACAACTGGCAGCAACCACGTACTGCTGAGGAGGCTGACTGAGCAGTTCTGTCCACACCTGAACAGAAACCAAAAGGACATTATAACACTAAAAAGGAAACTTGGACACAAAGGACTCAAGAGTCAATAGAGTTCAAACTGTGAGAAATCACACAACCTTCTGAATCAGCTCAAGGATTTCCTCATTGCTCTCCAGTATGCAGGACTGGAAAATGTGTCGGAGCATATCTTGAAGGATGGGGTTAATCCACAATGCACAGCTCTGTTAGAAATACATAAATGTTCACATTACCAGAAAACAAAATGTTTGTAATTGACAAGTCCACGCAAGAATAGTGTCCGTAAACTCAGGTCCTTGAAAAATACCTATATGGAGAAGGGTTTTACATTTTAATGCTTGCTCTATGTCACATGTACCTGGTCATCTTTAGAAAGCAGGGTGTAGAGGGTTTGCAGCGCTGCACGTCTAACTGATGATATTGTGTGTCTCAAGAACGGCCAGACCCGGGGAACAAGGACTGTTAAAGACTCCTGCGTGCTGGAAGGAGACAGGAATATGCTGTAAATACAGATGGATAGGTTATGATCTCAGAATGGGCAAAATGCAGATGCACAAAGACATTTAATTGTATGTAACACAAAAGCAACCCATAAAAAAAATGACAGTTTTCCACAAACCCATGAAGTTTAAAAAGCTTTACACAATCTAACCTAGTCAGCCAGAGGTAGAGAAATAACAGCGCTGTAGGTGAATCTAAGAACAGGGGGAATCTGGGGCATGATTTCTTAGTATGACTAGTTCAAGAGGCAAACTTCAGCCATAGGTGTTGGGAAAAAATATGGTAATGTTGGTTTTGTGGTTCTAAAAATCTAAATATTTATCCTGCAGAAATCAAGGACATATTTTACACAGTGTTTAATAAATGAGGCCCATGGTCTTTGTGTATAAGAGTGTGTGCAGTTCATACTGAAACAAAACTAACCAAGTTCAAACAAAGTATACTGTATTATGAGACAAACAAGCATTGGGCAGACATTACTTTGAAGACCTACCTGCACTGTCGAACCTGCGGATACGTGAGCAATGAGGACAGCAATGTCATGATGCTGTTGGTGGAAGCAGTAAGGTCATCCAGGTCTAACAGAGCATCCCAGAGTGTGTTCACTATAAAAGGCACCTGGGAGACATAACATTTTATACAGGTCTATAAGACTGCAGCAAGGTCAGTGTGGAAAAAAATGAAGGTGACAACTTCAGTCAAAACAGGACATTTATTTTGGCTATCTGACCTTACTGGGAAGTAGTTGTACTAAACCTTCCACCACAGGGATGAGAGCTGCTGCGGCCACAGCTCTGACATCATCATCGAGGTCCTGTAGGCCTACAGTAATGGCAGGCAACACCCGAGGTAGCAAGACGGATATCAGGTCCTGGAAACCAGTGGACAGTAAAGACTTATGAACAGCAATTCAAAAATGAAGTCACAATTAACAGCAAAAAAAGCCCTTAATTCATGCACCACCATCATAACCATATACAAATCAAGTGCAATGCACTTGGCCTTCTGTGCACATTAAACATCTCATTATGCGAACAGAAATAACAGATGGTACCTGTCGGACAGCCAAGGCGTACTTGATTCCCAGCAGGCCTCCATGACGGACCTCCCACTGGTCCTCTTTAAGCAGCTTAAGCAAGACATCCACTGTCATTGAAACACCAGTTTCACTCATGTGACGAAGGGCAACACCAAGAGTTTGGGCACAAGTTTCCCTGACAGGAGCCACCACCTGGACAGAGGGCAGTCATGGGTTTGATTTCCATTTAATGGCATTATTATTACAAACAAGAAGCTTAATTTTCCACTTTTGTTGCACCTTGACTTTCTATAACCTTAAATTACACATGCACAATATGGGACACAACAGCGCAGTACAGTATGACATCATAAATATGAATTATATGAAAGCCAATGAAATACAATTTTTCATCTACATCTTTCAAAAACTGATGTGCAGTTAGGCTAATGTATCACAAAGAGGTGTTAATGGTTGAAACTAGAAGGTTCCAAAACACCTACTTCATCAGAAACAAAATCCCCAAAGCGATCCAGAGCAAAGACACAGAGGAGCCGAATGACCACGTCCTCAATCCACTCTTGATGCTGTCGCAGCAACTAAACAGTAAAACACAGGAGATGTAATTATATTTCTAACCTCACACAAGGTGAACAACCTGAAGGCAACAATACATTTACCTGTTCCGCAGTGCTTCCAACCAACTTTCCACCCCCGGCTCCGTGAGCCTTGAGGATTTCTCGAAGACCTGTTCCAGCCCCATGACGAACCTGAGAACCATTAAATAGAAAAATGTAAACGTTTCTGTTAATACGTTATTGTGTAAAATGGGCAGTATTTAAAACACATTAAATGAACATGAATAAAACAAACTTTGTTTTACCTCCCACGAAGGGTTAAAAAGGTCATTGCAGAGCTCCTCACAAAAGCTCTCCAGAGGCCACTCATTTATCTGAGAAAGAGGAAAACAAAGAACACTTTTGTAGAATTTGCCATGTATTGGCACCTTGGGTGTTTTTTTTTTTTTTTTTCCAAAAAGACTGCAGTGTAATGATGACAAGGTAACTTTGCTTATGCAGTCTTTATTGTGTCAGAGTCTTGTCTGTTAAAAATAAGGAAAATTACAGTGGATGACAAACTGAGTTAAAGCTAAATAAATAACATTACTAATAAGAGTCTACTTTACAGGCACATGAAGTTACTTTTGTCAGAAATAAAAAGGCTAGGTAATCAGATGAACAGTGAGGGTTAGATCCTTCAATCAATTGAAAGTCACTTTCTCCTCCCAGCTTTATCAAAAGTCACAACTGCAGCTTTGGTTGGGTAAAGTGTTGTCTGGGCTGTGCTTCATCTAGATCTATTTTAATTGATCCTGTACATTTCACTTTTTTCTATTAGAGCAAATGGAAAAACATAAATGAATCAGGTCTAGCAATGACATTACTGAAAACTACAAATGAACAAGTTATTGGCATGATTTGATTACTTACCTCATCTAAAAGAGTGGAGTTGTCTGCAACATTGTCAATTAAGACTTTATGCTCTGTTGCTGGTTGGTCGATAACGACATTTGTGGTTTTCCTCCTTTTCTCTTCAGGTTCACCCTCGGTACTTTCATTACTAAAATGAGACAAATACACATTGGTACCACTTTTCTATTTAAATCAACAGATTTAATATAAAAAACAACAACAGGTATGTCAGAGTGACAGGGGTTTAAGTGTAGACATAGTAAATATTGCCTGCAACATTTTTGGAACTCTCTAATGAAAGTTCTTTGGTTGCTATCTAGGCACTAGAAAAAAAAAAAAAATCCAGTCATAATCAGGTATGCTGTTGGTGTAAAGTGTGAGTTCTCATACCTCTTCTCATTCGTGTCCACATCTCTAGATCTTTGTTTGGCTACTAGTTTAGCCATCCTCTTAGCCTTGTTCTTTTGACGATTACTCATGCCTGGTCGGAACTCTGAGTCAATCAGCTCAGCAGCTTGCATTGGCTGAAAAGAAAAAAGCTCATGATTAATCTGAAATAATTAATGTAAATAAATAAATAAATAAAACTATTTTGCTACATTACTGGATGTCTGACTCAAACATGACTAAAAATCAAATGTTTTATATCATCCATGTTCTAAATCCAGTACAGTGTGCTTCTAGAGAGTTTACAAGAACAAAACATGTTCTATGTTTTACTCTACAGCTCCATAGCAACAGCCTACACAATTGAAAAAACTGGCTGCCTCTCTTGTATTTGCCCAAATCCTGCTGGTTGAATCAGTACCGACAGGCCGTAGTAACTGCAAACCTAAATTTCTTACTGCAGATTTTCTTCTAGCTGCTACCAGAGACAGTGGTAATAGACTTTTGTCTTTTACAATAGAGTATATTTCACAACATACATACCACGTGGTTATGGGAGCCAAATCCAGCTAGTGCTTTGCTTCCATGCGCTTTAAATCCACTGGATTGAGAGGTGTCATCCAGGTCCTCATCATTGAACAATTCCTCTGTGTCCATTCCCATGGCAGCACCAATGTTCAGACCCAACTTCTTCTGAAGAAGCTTCCTTTGGTGAGCAAGACGCTCCTTAGGGTCCATCTCAGCTAGAAAGATGGAACACAGTCATTCAGGAAGGGCTTCGTAAACAACAAAGTTGTCATTAACTTTTTTTAAGAGATTCAAATCAGATCAGCAGTTGCTAAATAACCAGTATACAATAATATATGCAACTCCAAGGGTGCCAGGACCTATTGTATGTTTGTGTTTGATAAAATATGACAGCAGATTTCACAAACAAATATACAAAAAAGTAGTACAAACCTGCTTTGTCATCCTGCAGCTCATACTCAGCCCCAGCAGATCCCAGCAGGGATGCCCCATGTTTAAGCAGACGGGAAATGTCAAAATGATAAAAAGTCAACCGATCACTCGAGGAGTCCTCTGGAGATAATTCTGCACAAGACTCTAAAGGAAAAAGGATGTCATAATTTAAGGGCAGAGCACTCACTACATTGTTGTAGGGTCATGATGTTAATAATTACAAAACAACATGTGAGTTCAAATTGTATTAAACACATCTCTCTACTCACCTTCTTTGGGTCTAGGAGTTGGATTCCACACAGGAATATTTTGCACAATGGCCTCTACAGCTTGACCTGCTGCTATTCTAGTGTCCCAGTTGGGACTCCTCAAGTACGCCAAGACCTTTTAATGAGAATAAGTAAAGAAAATATAACTCAAACTATACTGGGATAGCAAATGACAAAATCAAAAGCTAATGTTTCTTGTTTTTCTTCGCTTTGTTAAGGTGTTTCCCCATATTTCACAGGTGGTTGGAACAAGAAGTGATCAAAAACATACTTTTGAGAGAAGATTATTCAGTTCATGTGGGTGGAGTTTGACCACTTCTCCAAGTTGCTGAGCCGCTGCTTTCCTGGTAACTGGTGTTGTCCCAGTGTCAAGTAGGATGAACAAACGATCAAGTCTACAACAAAGATGAGAAATGAAGCAAGGTCAGTAAAAGATGGACAATACTAAACCATAGATACACGCATAATGGTTACTCTTTAAAGAAAAAAGAAATGTATTATTATTAAATTATTATTTACCATAAACTTCATTTGTAATGTTTAGCATGTCAGAAGAAAATGCATTACTTTTAATGATTATTTTCTTGATGCTTTTAATTACTTGTTTATTTTTTTGAAACAAGTGTTGTGTAGCTTTGTTATCAGTACATTCTAATACAAGCTTGAGAGCAAAGAAAGCATAGGGATAGCACTGAACTTGATCTATTCTCATATTAAGCATATCTTAAATATACTTACATTTCTATGTGTGTCTATAAGTCCTAGGTGTAATATAATTAAACACATTCTCAGCCGCTTGCTTAACGGTTAATAAACAATGCATTATATATCATTTGTCGGGCTTCGCACCAAAGTAAACTTACACTAATGAGTCTCACCTCGCCTCTAAAGTCATTAGCAGTCTAATTATACATCGTGGAGTGGATTAGAGATGTGCAGGTAGAAATTGATCGTAAATTCACTTTGCAAAGTAATACCACGTGGACCAATCATAACAATGACAACTTTCGCCTGGACAATATGAAAAACGTACAACTCATTCACTGCATCCAATGAAACAGATACACACATAAAAACATATCTATTACTTTTGAAAACCTGTCACTAAATTTATAAGTGACGATGATAACACGCATCACGAGGGACTGTAAATACTTTAAAATAGTTATACCTCTGTCGTACTCACGGTTAACATGACCATATATTAATATTTATGCCCCGATTGTTGAAAATAATTGCTTGGTTATTGGTAACGTTTTACTGCTTGCTTTTGTTAGCCGGCCTTTCCAGTCTTCACCAAATGGAAAGCTATAAAATAACAAGCTTTAACCGGTTCGCCAAGTGTCAATTTTTCCCATATCTGACTCACCTTGACACAGCCATCGTTTAACACTTTGGGGCCGATTACGTCCCGCATTCAAACCGGAGTAGTTGGTTAAGAATATTCCCTTTTTTATCCTTTGTATCGTTCCCAGTTAGCTGGAGCACTGGAGCAAATCATTAGCCAGTTAGCAGCTACGGCTAACTAGCCGAGGCCCAGGCTTTTCTCAGCCTGACCACACTAACTCCTGTCTACTGCCGAAGAGAGCGGATTCACCGTCACTTCATGGCTTCAAATGTCTCCCTCTCTCTTCTTCGCTATCTCCTCCACACAAAGACTGCCGAGTGTCATACGCACATCAACGTAAAGCTCGAGCTACCCTTCAGAAGCACTGGCCGATAAATATTTTAACCTGATCAAATGTAAAGAGTTATTAGGTTGCACGTTGGGGGCAACCCAGAAGACTGTTTTTATACGAGGAGCCATCTTGCATTTATTCCTTCCTCCATGGCAGGCGGAAGCTGATTGGCTACAAGCGCCGAGGAGGACCAATCAGAAAGCGTGTTAAAAGGAGGAAACGGTTGGACTAAAGGAAAAGGGGCATCATTTTTGAATTCTCTTTCCTTTCAAAATGCAAAAACGTTTGTTTATAATGAAATGGGAAGCATATTTTTAGACAGAGAAATTGATAGATCAATAACAACACTTTATATATCATTAAATAGAGGTCAATGTCTTGAGTGTGAGTGTGGTTTCTACAAATATTTCTGTGCCTGCAAACTTAACTCATAGAACAAGGCATTGATTTAGAAATAGACTTCCCTAAATTTTGCCACATTAAATACAGCAAGAATAAGTACCTCAATAGTCTGTGTTCTGTTTTCAATACAGAATAGATCCAGACTGCAAATGGGACAACCAGACAATTTTATCTTTTAGACCACATATTGTTTTTTCACACCTTCTTTGGTGAAGTTTATGTGACAAACCCACATGATTAATTGTCATTTTCTATTTGGCATATCAATTTTTTAGATAATAAGATGAGTTACATTTCTTGGTATTTTCTTGTAATAGTTGATTTAATTGACCTCTGAGCTAACTGAGGTTCTGGAAATGCAACACTAGGGCAAGAATGTAGAAAATTAACTTATCAGCAACAGATATGTCGCTGCCATCTCACAAACTTGTAGTCCAGTCTTGACAGCATGCAAAATGAAATCATGCATTATGTTATCTCAGTATTGGAACTTTATTTCTTATCTCCCAGAAACACTCATTATACACAGGATCGCCCTTTATAAACTAGCCAGAGTATTAGTGTTAGGGCTGCTTTTTGGATAGTCCATCTGCATAATCACAACAATACTGAGCAAGACCTCTGTACCAAAAACAGATACTATTTTAGATGCAGTAGTTCCAGAAGATTATCCAAAAGCAGGATTCTTGCTACATATATGATCCCAAGGATAGTCTGATTATTCAACTGTTTTTACCCTGGGATGTTTTACTTTTCATAAATTTGCGAACCAGATGCATATATATAATGTGAAATTATGTTATTTTATAATAAGAACTCCTGCCTGCCTACATGCAGGATTCTGATTATGAAACATTATTACGTAACATTAACATTATTATGTAACAATAGGCGCAAGGCTTCACAGCTTGAGAAATCATTTGGGCAAACATTTATATCACAGTAATTTTATTTCATGACAATAATATGTGTATAGGATTCTCAAGTTTTTCTGATAGATTCACATTAAACAAGTATTATTAAATATAACAAAACTGATTTTGTTATATTTAACAAAGTTAAATACTGGGAAAGTACTGTGTGTAGTTTTATATTGTAAATGTGTGTAGATAAATAATGATTAAAAATGTAGGTTGCATTGTTATAGACATATTTTATTCCAGTGTGTGCAGTTGAAAAACAAAAAAACAAAAACAACCAATCAAGTACAGATTGTTCTTACTAAAAACATTATTGAGGAGATACAGCCAGAGAATACTGTAATTCTAAACAGTATTTTGCAGTGTATTGTTTCACATATCAGGCCTCTCCCACTCATTTGACTACTTTTGAAATTTCAATGCCATTTTCATACTGACTCACCCCCGTCTTTCAAAGGAGAACTACATCATTGTATCTGGAAGTCAAAATAAAATATAATAAAAAAATAGTCTTTAATAATGCAAAATATAAAATATTCTTTATAAACTTTTAAAACACCAGAATGGAGGGAGGGTATATTGTGACTAACATAAACATATGAATAAATTCATTCCCTTTTGTCCTCAACGTTCCATGTCCAGGTTTAATCCAATGATAATAATCTGGGTGTGTCAGTCATCTCAGACTAACCTGTTCCATCAGGATAAGGTATCTTACAGCTGCATCAGGTAAATTCTGAACGCTTTAAATGCAAATGTGGTCATTATGGTATGGTGTGTTCAACTTTTTCAATTGTCCATTGCAGCATTACACATTAGCTGTAAGGCTTGTGAAATATCCTATTTTGGCCTTAATTTTGTCCAATTTGTACAACTTAGTTTATATATTAATGGCCATAGATGAGCAGGGAAAACTAAGAGTTAGCAATTTATTATTATTTTCTAAAGAAAAATGTACATAAATGTTATAAATATCTAACAGCAAATAATAGATTGTTAAAACTAATTGATAGAATTAGCAAAAAAAGCAAAATATCTTGTCATCTGGCATAGCTGAAAATCAGCAAAAAATAAGGTGAAAAATACATTAAAAAACATTTATGTAAAAACAGCCAAAAGAAGGTTAGCACAGATACTATACTATAAAATAACCATGAATATGATAATAATAAACGAAAACACACTAACCCCCGGGAAGCACATGATACAGCTACATATTGGTGACATTGTTTTGGTTTTGTCTGACGTGAAACTTCTAGTAAAGATATTTTTAATATGCACACAAGACACGTCAACTCTGTAACGGTAAGTCTTTACAGTAATCTGCTGCACACTGCCCTCTACAGGTGTAGATTGTCTTTGTCACCCGCCACAGGCTGCTAACGTTGCCACGTACTGTATACTGTGTATTGCATGAATCTCATATTGCACAAGGAGTTACGTTGCTGTTTGAAGGAAGTATTACAGGTGTGGTTCTCCGAGAACAAAGCGATACATAACCAAAGCGATATTGTATGTCTGCCCTGATACAACTAGATTTAAGATGATATGATCTATTAAATCAATAGATCATAAAAAAGTAGTACTCACATTAATGAAAAAATGTCAACAGTTGCTTTATTTCCCCCCTCATCTACGTACATTCCCTGTACTTAAAGCAAGTAACTAAACGGGAAATGAAAACCCTTAGCTCCCAAGGACTTTCATTCTATGTGGTAGGTAACCAGTCTGCAGACTCAAAGATAAAGTTATTCATAAAAAGATAAATATTTATACAGACAATAAAACTAGTTATTCATAAAAACGATAAATATTTATACAGACAATAAAACTAAAACCCAGACAGATACGTTTCAAATTAACCACAAACAGCCGAAAAATGAAACAACAGAGCTGAGTGTTTCTGTAAATAATACAATTAAATAAATGACAATTATTCAAGAGAAGTCTAAAAGTTAAAGAAGATAGTGGCTAACTGTTAGCCAAAATACATCATAATAATTACAACTATTTAAAAATAAATCCCATGAGGCATATTTAACATCAGGTTATAAAAAATGAATTAAAAAAGACACGTACAGTACCCAAACCTATCAAGGCATTGTCTGTACCATTTCTGGACAATAAACTCTCAACACAACTCACACATTTTTGTATTTTATTTAAAACAAATATTGTGAAAGTGCACAGCACTGACCAAAATAAACTGTGTACAGAACAGCAACAATTTATTCCGCAAATAAATTGTGACATCGCAGAGTATATCCTTTCCTTGTTACACAATTGACGCTCATCAACGCAAAAGTTTTAAGGCACAAACATAAATCCTGACCTTTACTCAAATAGAAAAGACCCTGAAAACTTGAGAACCAACGCAAACGGGTTCAATACTCCTGAGCTTCTTGGCTCAGTTAATTACACGACATTTGGTCTGTAGTTTTAGCATACAGTAACAATAGTCAGCGCAGTGTCGGCACTCTGCCTCTAGTCACCTGTCAGCAAACACTCTTTTCAGGTCTCAGAAACTTCTAGGGAAAAATATCTAATTTTCATGCAGGCTCTCCACAGAATGCATATTGCACTGGGTTTACACATAAAGTAATGGTAAAGTGCTGCACCACCTTACAGCCATCCATACATTCTCTATTGCGCCACTCAACTCTACCAAGTCTATTTAAAATAAAAACACAGAAAATAAATTTTCCTTTCCCCTCTAGACTATGAATGGCCATAATCCATCATTTTTCAAAATATGGGGCAGCGCAGGAGTAGTGCATGTTGACTTGGTAAGCCCTGTTGGCAATGTTGGACTTTGGATCGAGTGAGGCAGAGGGGTGCTGGATGTTGTTGGAAGGCTGCAGGCCAGTGGAACTTGAGTGATTGAGGTAGGTGCTCGGCCTGTGGTTGGCTTGTTGGGAAAACTGTGCACTGGACCGCTGCAAGTACTGGGTCACAGTGCCTGTCTGGCCTGAACTGTGGAACCCCATCTGCTGCTGCTGCTGCTGAGACTTCTGCTTGTTTGCCTCTTTGACATCACTGTCATGTGCGCTGTGAAACAAATCACATGGAAAAATAACTGTACAGTAAAGATATTCAGTGGTACAGGATAAAACCCAGCATGCTCTTTTGTAGATATGTAACATGATGTTTTCAGAGAAATTCATATGTTAATGTGGCATTGGTGCAGTCATTTTTTCAGGTGAAAATATCATCCTGAAAATTGCTCTGGTTAATGAGTTGCATTGTTTAATAATTGTTTAATAATGACTATATTTGTGTATTTAGCCTGTAAAGGTTTTCACCAGTTAGTTACAAAAAATGAATTGAGATTCATGTTGTGATTTAAAATTGCAAAGAGAGTTTTGTCTTTACATTTTGCACGTACAAATCATATTGCTATTGAAAGCACAGCGTAGCCATAGATAGATATATGACCTAATGAAGACAAATGGTTAAGTGGGTCAGTTATTTTGGGCTGTTCGTGGGAAAAAAAAAATAACATGCAAGATCACTGCCTTGTAAATGCATGAAAAACAGAGTCAACAAATGCATCAAACAACAAGAACTACAAACATTGAGATTAGCTGTTGAGAACGTGCAGCATTTAGCTTTTCTAAGCTACTGATTTATACATACATGAGTAGCTTCTCAGCACATGGAACAAGGTTTTCCCATGTGTAGCCTGTGAGGCACTGCAGCTGTGGTGGCCACGTAGGGGACAGGTGGAGGACGAGGCGGGAGGCAGAAACACACGCAGCAGCCAATAGAGAGGGAGCAAAACACAAAAACACATGGTCTGGGGGAAGACAAGAAAAGCAATCAATCACCACATCAAGAAACTATGCTGGACGAACAAATGGGTGAGGAAGGGAAAGGGTGGTCGGACACAGAACGGTGTGTTTTCTTTTAAAAAAACATTTTTAAAAAAAGACCTGAAAGTGTGTAAAATAAATATGTGGTTTGTCACTGGTTCATGTGTCTGTGTTGGTAAAAATTCAGCCATTATAAAGTGTCACCAAGAGCACCACATCAAGCCATGCCATCCACCTACCTTGAAGGGAAACCTCCAGGAAATATTCTGCATATTTGGCCAAATATATTTTGGATTTTTCTAGGCAGGTCAAAGGCCAGCCATCGTGAAGGTCTCCTTCATGAACAGCAATAGACAGGCAGTATTCGATGAAATGAGCCGCTGTGGGCAGGTACAGGTTCCACTGGAAAGTTTCTAACAACAGCAGCTCCATGTGCAGTAAACTCTGTTTGGTCAGGACCAGGTTCATAGTACTTATGCAGCCCAAGCTGTTCAGTGTCTCCAGCTTTGGAACACGATCTTCCCTTTCTTCAAACTTACCTACAAAAAGACATATCTTTAGCGTGACAAACGCATGGCAAACTACAGTAGTAGGAAACTGTGGTTTCAAACGTACTGGCTAGGAGAAGACAAGAGAGTGAGACAACGGCAAGCTGCTGCTCTGTGACATCATAGCGGTCCATGAAGAGATCCAGTAGGTAGACAGCCAGGTGTCTGGCAGTAGGACACAGCCTGAAGTGGTTGCTGATGACTGCTATGAGGTCTGTATAGTATCGCCTCAAATTCAACTGAGGGGAATGGCCCTTATAGGTGGGCAACTTAAGCTCCTGTAACAGAACAAGTTGAAACGTAATCATTGTAGAGGTGAAAACATAAACATTATTAAATGTGTTGAATTCTAGGACTGGGAGTCCTCCAACAGTTTATCAATCCAAAGGGTCTATTTTCCACTAAATGGGATTATAGCTTACAAAACTGACATCATGAAGTTCTGTTAAAACCTTGTGCAAAATGTGGGACAATGTTGGGTGTTTGTTTTGGCTAATGTTTTTACATTAGCCAACAGTAAACGAACTCAAAACCTTATGTTTTGATATTAAACTTTAGATGACTGAAAGAAACGACTGAATTTCAGCCTTTTTTAGTCATTTCTTAGTCTTTTCTTAAACTTAAATTCCAAAGGTTGTTGGTTGTGGATTCATTAAAAAACAAATCACAATATATAATATTCACATTAACATCAACACTAAGTGACATCACTGCAGTCCCAGGTCTGGACTGAGTTGGAGCTCCAATAACTTGATGTTCACCACGAATTATAACAACAAACAATACGAGCAATCCCACCTTTTATTTTGGCCCAACTCACTTTAAATCTTAGCACCTGGTAAATATCTGTGGCCAGCTGTCCTCTCCACCATTGGTCTTCCAGCTCCATTTGGTTCCTGTGGAAACCTGTGAACACCACAGTAGGGAATCAACTCATGCCCTGAGAGACAAAACCCTATTCTCCTCAACGGAGTGACTCTACATGGTGGCTCAGTGGACAACGGAGACGGCCACCATACATTCAGTGTTGTTTCTTTCAACAAGTGAGAGCAGCGAAGGTGATGAAGGCTAAAACCGGGTCGTGACAGGAGACTCACCCAACAAGCATGTGCTGTGACAATGACAGGCAGTTTCTGACAGGCAGACCGGGGGTAACTGCTATGTGAACGGGATGAACATGCTTAACTTATCCGCACTCATGTTGGTGGTGACTCGGTCCGCTCTCTCAACACGAGTTCTGCAAACGCGACTGCTGCCTTCAAGTGCTACCGGAAATAAGAGCTTTTCAAGCTAGAAGCACATGATGTATCAGTATACCGTAGGTAAAGCTTTTTTGGCTAGCTGCATTTTAATTTAATTGATAATTAAATAATTAATAGTTTTATCTTAGTTGAACGAGTACCGTGTTCTTGTTGTCTACCTAATTTAGTGAAAAATCCATTTGCACTTTAAGAAGCCTTTCGATTTCTGTCAGTGATGGACCACTCAGACGCAGCCAATTAGAAGTACTGATGCAACAGCAAACGTCTCATCAAAAATCCTTAAACCACCGTCCTTTACTCCACCTCACCACCCTTGCTGGTGCATCCAACCATAGCAAAGTCTAGAAAAAACTGAAGATGGCAAGTCTCTTTGCAGTAGCTAAAGTCAATGGTGTGGCGCAGGCGTCAAACCTACGGCATGTGGGCCAAAACCGGCCCGCTCAGGGGCTCAATATGGCCCGCTTGATGAAGTTTGAAAAATTGCACTTTATGTTTGTGATGTTTTGTCAAATAATATATCATTAAAATAATATTTTCTAATAATACTTTGCAGTAGAACAAGAGGAAAATAAACATGTACTTATTGTTATTTAAGATCATGATGTTATGGTTGCACTGGTCCAGTGTACTTCACATCTAAATAAGCCGTATGGCTCATGAGCCAAAATTAAGTTTGACAGCCCTGCTGCAGAGGTCACCTGTGGAGCCCCAGTGTTGTTGCTACCACTCTGTACTCCATGTTACAATAATAATATTTGTAAACGTATTTACTTTGTATTGTAAATCTAAAGTCATTACAGCAATGACAGTATATACAGTTCATCCCTTAATTCCATCCCCTCGTACGTATATTGGGGTTTTATGGGGGATGATTTTAAGTTTACATTGTAATATTAAAACTGTAACGTCAACTGGAACATGTTTTGTGTTTTGTGTATTTGACCTGTACAAATATATCCCACCTAATGCTGCACGTGTACATCCTGTGGGCTGCCAGTCAGGTAGTACAGAATTCAGGACACAAAGAGTGGAGTCCACTGCTGACAGTGGTCTGTGCCTTGTCAGCAGTGTGTGCAGAGGCCTTCCTAAAGCCCACCTCTCCTACACACAGCTTTTTGGACTAATTAGAAATGGTTGTCTTTGATAAATCAAATATAAGGAAATATTTTTTTCCATTTCTTTTCATTGTATTGTATTGCAGTCTGTATAACTAATTAGTGACTGATGTGTCTAATTACACTCAATGCACCCTCCCACCTGTTATTGGCTAGTTACATCATGGTAGTGGGAGGAATCAGGGGAGGAGCTATTCAAACCCTATTTTACATAGTCTTCAGAAGAACAATACACATAGTGTAATCATTTTCTTGGCAGCATGGGATTTGAACCCTCCACAACATCAATAATCAGCCATGGTTTCCAACGCTTAGAATTACATCACAACATAGCTCATGTGTCTGCTCCATTCGGCCAGTTTTATTTTATTGCCCATTCATTGGTTTACATTGGGGATCACTTCAACATCAACCACTAGCCTGTTGTTTTTGAGAAGTTCTTTTGTCTTCTTCTTCTTCTTCTTTTCTGTAGATCATCTTCATACTAATGTAAAGCAACATCAGCAAGTTAACACATAAAGCTTAGCATTTCAAGAATCAAGACACTTTAGTAACAATATTACAAAGGGTTGTTAGGATTTCCTTAGCTTCTGAAAATGAAAAAGGGTGAACAAAAGCAACAAAACATATACTTTAAAAGAATTAGGATCATAAAATTAATTTATTCCAAGTAAAAATACAAAAAATATGAATGACATTGACCAGATATGAAAGTCTCCCCCAGAAAAAACTCTTAATGGTTGAGAAATGTCTGTAAAGAAAATATGAAATAAAAATTAAAATACGTAAATGTTTAAATTCTTTTCTCTCTTTTTTTTTAGCAAAACTTTCTAAAAATAATGAAAATTTCTCAGTACAAAGGCTACATTACTACTGGAAGGTACTAGCAGGTAGAGTAGGTAAAGTACACAGTAGAAAATGGTTTTTAGTGAATCACAATGCTTGCAATGAAAATAATTCTGCAATAAAGATTTTATGCCTCTTTTTTTATCTCAGTTTTCTTCTTTTCTACAAACAGTACAAACAGTATTGCACATTACAACAAAGAGTCAAGGTTCGGAGCCTTTACAAAATGGGACTAATTCAAGTCTTGTGTGAATAGAAGGCCACCAGTCAATTGATGCACCTTTAGGGGCTTTCGATCAAGTTACGGACGAAAAGACTTTTGTCTGTCCTGTGTTAAAAATAACATTCTTTTCTCTTCACCTCACCTCCCGCTCTCCGGCGACTCTCACAAGTCTCTTTTTTATTTCAGGCTAACAAAGAAGGGTCACGTCACTTTTTTTCTAATTTTTTTTTTACAAAACAAAAGTGGAGCATATATATACGAATAGGAAACATAAAAAACATCTCTTAAAAAAATAATGAACAGAAGATCTCTTTCACAACTCTGGTCAGCATAGTAAATCATTGATTATAAATATACAAAAAACTCGGGGAACATGTTCAGTTTTCTCTCAGAGCACCTGATAAGATATATTTATCTCTTAAGAGCTTCCTCTTAAATGATCTTGTCCAATTTGACCAATGGGACTCGTGCCGTTGCCTACGCTGTGATAGACTATTCTCAATAACTACGTCATTATATTAGTAAATAAAGCTCTAGCTCCTTCAGTTATCTTTTTTTTTTCAAAAATAAATTCTCAAAGTAAAAGCAAATAAGCATGGTAAAAAATAAAAAAAAATCGACCATCTGTTAAATCATTTCGCTTGAATAAGAATTAAATTAATATATATATTTTCATTTGAATAAACTTATTTAGAAAATATCAGTTTCTTTCCTAATATATTTCAAAATTGAGGTATTGCAAAACGATCCTGTCAGTCAGAAAGCATGCCGTATCCTCCCTCTCTCTGGGTTTTTTCTTTTTCTTTGAACAAAAACCATCTGCTGACTGTCCAAAAGTGTTCAGATACAAAGAGTAGTGCATAACAAATATCTATTATATCTTAGAGAAGGAACAAACATAGAAAAGCAGTCTGGGCCAGGAAAGAAATGTCACAAAAAACACCCAGAATTCACTTTCATAGGGATACGGGTTGTTATTATTATCATTATCGTCATTATTACTTATGGTTAGCCTCTTTTTCTAAGTAAAAAAACTATCTTCTGCTTAAGTTTCTTTTTTGAACCTCAGATGAGAACGAACAAATAAAACATTGATACTAAACATAAAGGAAAAAAAAAAACAGTTTGCGACTAAAACCAGAGAAGGGGGCAGGACCATGGGGCACCAGTAGGGGGCAATCACATCAAATTTACAAAGGGTGGAAAAAAGGAGAGGGTCGAGTCAGTGTGTGTGTATGTGTGTGTGTGTTTGTGTGTGGAGGGGCGGGGGGTTGTCAAGTCACAGATTTCATCACGCAAGTAATCAAATTGTCGCAAAACTGCTGAAAAAAACCCCCCAAACCTCACCCCCCTCACCCACACCTCAAAATCTGAACCCCAAATATCTGAGGTGACGATTTCTCTTTCAGCAGCGAAGTATCTGTAGCATAATTCAATGTAACTACCAAAATAAAAAAAAAATAAAAAAATAAAAACAAACACTCCTTTTTCTGTGTTTCTCAAATGGTGGGTCTGGATTCAAAGTGGATCAGGGGGACGACCTTGGTAGGATTTGCTATGTCAGCGTGCTCAGTGTTTTCGACGATCGTATCCGATGCGTAATTTTACTTCAAATTGGAAATCACTCTATTCTACCAGATAGGTTTAACTTTGATGATCACAACTGGACAGGCTGTGCTGACACGACAGTGGACAGGGACTTTAGGTCCGTTGGATTACAGCTGTAAGGTTTTATGTCCACAGTTGTTGGAAATGCCAAAGTCAAGGCACTGTAGTACCACTTCTGTCCACTTTTTGACTACTTCTTGACTATTTTTGTGATGAGAAATTAAGGGCTTTATAACAAGTATTCAGGCTTTGGGAGAAAGACTCACCCATGAGTCAGGACTCACCCAGGTGTCACCATTTGAGAACCACTGTCCCACATCAGTGGTAACGGTCCACCGATATGGTCCCAGTTATCCCCCCAACCCACTCAGTGGTCAGTTCCCATTGACACAACATAACCATTTGATAAAAACAAAATAATATATATTTATATATAAATTTATGTTTTGACATATGCCTTTGTCCTGTATATATTTCCACCATAATTAAGCAGGTCCATTAATTCAAGCTTCACAGGAAATAAACTATATAAAAAATTTGGATAAATATTGTCACCCCTGTCATGTAGTGAGACTATGTGCAGAGCTCAGGTTTCTTTCCTAACCTCAAGTATCCAGTAGCTTCAATGTATATATTTAACCCACCCACCCACACTCCCCACCCCCGTCCAGCCGACCCTGTCCCCTATCTTCGTCCTTGCAACTGCCTTCTGTCCCCATCTAACCCGCTGCACCTTCAGCAGGCAGGGCGACAGTCTGTAAAAAATAAACCAAACGTGAGCTCTTTGGTTGCACTGTGCGATGTAAACTGGCTTTTTTTTTCTTTCGGAACAAAAACCAAAAAAAGAATCCCTCCATTTTTTTTTTTGTGTTTCTTAAAGTTGAAGCTCACATTGTTGCCTCTTCGCCTCAGATCAGACTGTTTGTGTGCAGAAGAGAGAGATAAATATCCATATTTGTGTTTGGTGTGTGTGTGTGTGTTTACAGAGGCTTCTGTGTATACTGGTGCAAATGTGTGTACAAGAAGAGAACATATATATATATTATATATATATAAATATATATATATACTGCACGTGTGCATACACAAGTTATGAAGTTTCACAGGACTCCTATGTCGGACACTGACGACAGTTAAAGCGAATCACAGTTCTAGGCATACTCAGATCTAACTACATACTGTATAAAAAATTGCACAATTATAACAACAATCACTGCAAAATAGTACTTCACCTATCATAGACAGATTTAAATGGTAATCCTACATGTCATTTGAATCATGATTATTATTATTATTCTTATTATTAAAACTGTTGTTTTTGTTTTGTTTTTTTCACCTGCCCTAACGTCAGGATGTGTGCAGGTCGAACCCTCAGCTCTGGAGTCACCACCACCACCACCACCAGCCAGGTTTGACCAGTTCTCCCTGTTTCTGTCCAGTCTCCGTGTGTACGTGTGTTTGTGCAAACGAGGGCAGAATCCAATAGTAGACATGGTACTAAAAAAGTGTATTGCATGCAGCAACCTGATTGAAATAAACATGCAGTTTTAAGGGGCAACCCACCCCCACCCCCCCGACATGATAAAGGTAGCCATCTTCAACTAGGGGGCGCCTTCACCCCCTTGACAGAACATCACCAGGTACTTCCTCTGGGTCTGTGATTATAATACACTCTAGCCTGAATAAAGTAATTATGGTATATGATCATACCACAGGTTTAGCAGCACAGCTATTGCAGCATTACATTTACATAACACTAAAAAATAATGTTATTATAAAAATAAAGACCTTGAAATTGAAAACAAACTAATCTGATTATGCTTATGAGGTATTAATATATGGTGAGTGGAAATCCAAAGCCAATGAAAGCAGTGTTACTTTACCTCTGGGCGATACGAGCCCACACTATGGGATAGATGTTAAATCTTGCTACATTGTATGCCATATTAGGATTGTTGTGCATTAGTTTCACCTCAAGGGGTTGATGAACTTTGACCTGGGCCGATACGACTAAGTGCATGCTCTTTTTATATCAGTTTTGAACTACCTATATATTTGTACATATATAGATGGATACAAACATGTACTTGTTTGAAAAATATTTTTACAGCCCTGCCTTTGTGTTAGTGAATGGAGTCCAGAGGGACGACCTAGTCGACAGGGCAGGGAGCCGAGAGTAGCCAGGATTCTAACATACCATCCTGTGTGTGTGTGTGTGTGTGTGTGTGAGCATGTGTGTGTGTCAGACTCTTTGCTAAAGTGCAAATTCTAAGCGATTAGACTTACATCTTACATCCCCACAGTGTTTCATCAGACAAGATACGAGTCCACAGCTGTGTGGTATGAAGACAGTCCCATGCGTTTGATCCTATTCTGTTCTCAGAAAATGTGTTTGTGTGTGTGTGTGTGTGTGTGTGTGGTGCAGGGTGGAAGTGTTAAGGATGTGTGTGTTTGTTGATGCTGTTGTAGCTTGATGTTTTTTTTTCTTAAGGGATGGGGGGGTCAGGTGTGGGTTCACGAAGGCAGAGCTGACTCATGTGGCTTCCCCCTCTCAGCTCCAGCGGAAGGAGACGTGGCGGGGGCGATCTCCCCCCTCCTTCACTAGTGGCTTGTGAAACTCTCTGCCGGCCCTGGAGTGGATGCTGGCCCAGCAGTACTCGCAGTAGTACTGCAGACAGGTGACGTTGGCACAGAAGAAGGGGGCGAACTTCCCCCCGCAGCGAGCCCCCTGGCACTCATCACACATCTGGTCATCCAGGACGTATGGCTTCACCTCCACCTGGGTGACAAGGCAGGAGACGGTTCATTAAAATCCCCTTATTTTCAGCAAATGTATCGTGTAGAGAAGCGGAAAATTCCTCAAAACCACAAAAATCAAATATATGTGGTAATAATTATGAGAGGAAATTAGACCCAGGCGGCAGTTCTAATGTTTTCAAAACCACGGGGGCTCACAACTGAAGTTAGAGAGAATTTTAGGAGAATTTTAGGAGAATTTTTTGGGGTTGAGAATGAATTCATAATCTTCAAATTTGAAACTGCTGGTGATAAAAGCTAAATGTAATAGTTTTGACTCAGTTTCACAGCACAGATCAGATTATTCTTCAACCCACTTCTCATTATTAGCTTTATCATCATTATGGTCATTACTATCATTGTCCTTATATTTGTAGAAGCAGAGTAGCCATTTTGGTGCCCTAGGTGAGATCTTTGTCTGGCGCCCTCACCGCCTCCTCTTGCACAGTAATACAGTAGTTCTTTTTCTTGTCAGTTTACAGCATTTTCCCGTCAGCAGATGGTGCCCTATATGACGTGACTGTCTATGTTCCCTATGCTAAGAGCTGCCTCTGTGTAGTAGTATTAATTGTAGTATAAATGTTAATTTGAGATTAAGATTGAGATTAAAAAAAAATTAAATAGTTCATGAAACTCAGGTAGAGGACATTTGAGATGTAAACTCCCCCGACTCACTCTACCGGACGACCACACTCCTGCCCTTAACAAGAACACAGGTGCGTTAGCTTCTTGTCCCTAATCATTTCAAAACCCTGTGCATTGTCAAACCAAGAGTCCTAGCCCTCAAGGTCCTGAGACAAAAACGAGAGCTGGGTCTCCCTGGAGACATGTCAGACATGAGTGGGCAGGGGCGGATGCTAACCTTGTTATCTTGTGGTCACAGAATGAAAGGGTATAGGATCCCTACGCATTATGAGGTCAGCCCTTTTTTTGTCTCAGCTACAGGAACATCTGCAGAATAAACGCTTTAGCTGTAAGAAACAAACAAAATCAAGAGGGGTGTGTAGTTGTAGTAGTGGCCATTGGAGGTATTACACCTGTCAGAGCCAGAGCAAAGACTACAGCAGGGGTCACCCACCTTTTTGAAACTGGGAGCTACTTCAAGCCTACTTAGTAACACACAGGGATACTTGTTTGTTAAAGACTTCCTGAACAATGTAATAATAATTAAAAGAAAATGAATGCTGCCTTGTCAAGTGCTGGGACATATAACAGCAGACACTCTTTTTAACATCATCATTGAACCTATTTTATTATAATTGCTAGTGTTACTGAATAAAAAACCTATTTTGTTATAATTGCTAGTGTTACTGAATAAAACAAAGAGTAACAGTACAATTTTTGACCCTCTTGTTGACTAGTTTTATTTTAGTCCATGGGACAAGGACTAAAGTATCCACAGGTGTGTATGATCAGAATACTCCCCTGGTCAACTTTTTAACCAATGACAGGGATGAAAGTGGAACACTAACTATCATTTCCAGTATAATATATATGTTCATGTAGGCTTGAGGTACATCACGTTTCAACAGAAAACTAGAGATTTTATTTTATATCCACATGGGGGCATTGTAACCTCAGGTGCTGCTCGGTATAGTCTCACAGCACTGCAGAAGAACAGCAGATTAGGAATTTTTCTTCCCATAACAACCATCCAACTGCATCTAGAGAATAACGGGAAATAGTCAGCGTCATTTCACGCTGTACCAAGTTTGATGATGTCACCTAATTACAATCTCAAAGGAAAAGGGCCAATGACATACATTTGTTAAAGAACAGAATTTGAAATATTAAATGATACAGACTTTATACTCTGAACAAGAAACATTGTCCAAGTACTACTCCAAAGTTGTAGGCTATCTTTGAGGAAATGAAATTGCACATTTTGGTAGGAATACAGGGGAGACAAAATAAAGTGGCCATATCATGAGATCTAATTTGGAAAACAAAGCTGTAATTTTATAAGAGTGAAGTTGTAATTTGAGGTGACAATTTTTGGGGAGAGAAACACATTGTCTTACAGACTCTGAAGAAGGACCTTTTCTCATTGTTATAGGATTGTTGCAATTATTAATATTTTCCATCAAGCTTAACCTTTTAATTTCACAAATATACGATATACTGTATATATATATAATTATTAAGATCTTTTTATTTTTAAAACAAATTATTGTAATTTCTGATTTTATTTATTTTTCTTCAAGCATCATGGGAATTCTAAACTTGTAACTGAAATTGCATTTTTACTTTTTTGCAAATGATTTAAAGAAATGTTTTAGTTTGTGTTTTGAGGCTGTTGTGTAGAGGGAGTACACTTGTACACTGCTGTGGATTCCACCCTGTCTCAGTAATTAAAAGAAGCCCGCCCACACAGAACCCCCAATGAAGATAGATGGTGATAAGTGAGGTGGGGTGAACCGCCCCGCCCTGAGGAGGCTTGACGTCCTGGCTGACGACCAGTCTCTCTTGGTCACAGTCTGTCCCTCAGCAATTGGCAGCTGAGCCTAAAATAACCAGGCTGCAGCACAGGCTGAGTGGATATACATGTATATGGAGCTGCTATAATTAAACCAACCCTATGTGTCTGCAACTTGAAACATCTGCCGGGACTCCCACCAGCCAAAGGCTGTAGTGATTACACATCCAGGCCCGGCCTTCCGTTATTGTAGGCTGTGCTGAGGAGTTGGCTGAAAACTCAGGCTGTAATGAAGGCTGTGCTACATGGGAGAAGGCTCAGTCACAGCTCGGCTCTGATACATGCCGTAGGAATGAGAGAGAAAACCTCAGCCCTGGTGGGGATACTGCTTCCTTTCAGAGGGAGGATGTTTTGTGAATGGAGCTGATGAACCCGCTCACCCTCTTGTCGATGTCATTGTGCTGCAGCTGAACGAAGCGAGCGCTGATGGCAGCGATGTAGCTCTGCTGATTGGAGAAAGCCACACGACCTGCGCCCTTTGGGTATTTGAGCTCTGGGTCTGTGTCGATGCCGGCGTAGCAGACGCCTCCGTACAGGCGGTCCATGATCATAGCCAGCTCAACTGAGGAGAATCACAGAGGACGAGATGATCAGTGCTGCCACCAGGGCTCAGTTTACTTTCTATGTTTACAGGCAGAGTTGTAGTTAAGTGTAACTGGGCTGTATACCCCAGAGTACAGGAACTAATATAATGTATTTATATTAGTTAAGGACCACTAATATAACGTGGTAAAATCACCAGTTATTTCACCACATCATAACTGGTGATATAGTGCTAGTCTTTTAGCCAGACGTATTGATTTGTATTGATATGTTAGCAGTTAATAAAATAGCAGACAAATAGCTAATATATATATTAATATACAGTATACAATACACACATATATATACATACATATAAATATTTGTTTGACGTTGCAATTTTTTTTTTCCTGACAAACTTGTTTAGTGTTTAATCCAGCCGATCTGAATATAAGCTAACATAAAAAGACATTTTCTTCAATGTTAGGTGAAGGCACTTGCATATTTTCTTTCCTTTGCTTTACTTCATTATCAGGTGAAATTAAACAGATAGTTGGAACTGAGTATGGCCATTAGCAGCGTCATGGATGATGAAAATTCCAGCCTGTTGCAGTATTCATCAGTGCAGCAGGCTCAATCAGCTGGTATAATTAGTCGGGGTCACATTGCAGAAAAGCCAGTGATGTTTATCCCACGAGCAGAAAGACTGAGCCTTCCATTACACCATGAATTCTTTACATGATGACCATTTGGCCTGCGTCCTGGAAACCCAAGGAGACGATTTCTTTCTTTCAGTGCAAACTTTTCATTATAGCCCGTAGCTTTACTGCACCGTGCCAGAAAGTGTTATGAATTTAGTAAAGACTTTTAGCATATTTAAAAAAAAACATAATTCATTTACTGTAGTTATTTACCTGCACGCAAAGGCCGGGGAACTCCTCCTACAAAGATTGTTTTGCGAGGATCCAGAGGCTGGGAGCCATCCATGACAAAGTCACTGTCGCTAAGGTTCCAGGGACGGATCTGGACCTGCACAAGACAGGGAAGGCAGGAGTTTGGAAAAATGGCAACACTGTTTTTATACTCCTAATTGTACTGTGCATGACTACCACAAGACTACATTTCAATTAACACCATCAGGAGATACATTACTACTTCGCTACATTATACACATTTTTGTAACATCCCTGCAGTACTTCCAAACGCCTCCTGGGGGTTCCAGACTCCCCATGGAAGACCTGTGTTTTTAAAGAAGACTAAGGGATTTGATAGGTCACTTAAAAATCTCAACTCTACAGCTGTCTACACCACATGGACAGGGGACCATTATCAGACCATAGAAGTGTTTTATTTGGATTTTCTTGAAATCCACATTAGTCCTCATGATAACTTCATGTTAAAAATGTCCTCAAATGGAAATCCAAATATTATCAATAATATTACATCATATATGACATAATGAAATTATATATAATGCACTGTACTGTTCTGCTCATGACCTCATGACACACACACACACACACACACACACACACACACACTCACACCCCTGCTGCTGGTCCACACAAATGTTCTTGCATTAAAAACAGGTCCATGATACACACCATTGGGCAGCACAGATGTAAAGGAGAAGGTTATTAACAGACTAACATTTTCAACCCTAATTCAGGAAAGACATTGTAGTTGGAAAGTAAAATCTCACAGACACATGAGACCAGCTCTTCCCCCTCTGCTCTTAGGTTTCTAAACAAGTTTGTGCTTGTTAAAAATGAACACAACGAGCTCCTTTTCTGTCACTGGAGAAAATTGTGTCACTCACTGGTTTGTCTTTGATGGTGGGGCTGGATACACACAGGTACAGCTTTCCATCCTCCTCAATGCAGGCATCGATCAGGGCCTGGACTGAAGTCTCTTCCTGGAACAGCAGGAAGGCATAACCTGGAACAAAAGAACAAACAAATACATTTGTAAAGGGGAAAAACCTTGTGACTGGTTATGGTTACCTCCGTTATTATACTGAAAAGACCTGGTGTCTCATAAAAAGAACCATGAAAGTTGATTGAATTACCAAACTGCTCATCTTTACTTTGACCCTGTGGTAGATCACAATTAAATATATAATAAAAGGCACAATGCAGTGTTTTTTTAAATGTTTCATGAAACCATATTTCACTTAAGTGAAACCAACTATTATATTTTTATTATGTTTGCACTTAAGGAAATTTCAGACCGTAACTCTTGGCTTTCAGAGACACAAAATGTACACAACATAAATATATTAAATAAATGCAGAGCAATAACAAACAGGCTCCTGATGTGCAAATAAGAACAGAAGGATATAAATCTGAGGAGCAGCAAATGGCCTGGTGTAAATACATTGAACAAACATGTTCACCAATAGTAGCACAGTTACTAATAGAAGCTGAGTGATCCTGTTCACATGTGATAAACAGAGACTAAAACAGGGAACAGTACAGTACACTCATAATAAACTTTGACGAGCGAGTGGAAGTTAATAGGGATCTGATTTGTGGGCTGATCAAAATGAGCACCACAAACTGGTAGAGGACAAAAATACAAGCCAGCAAAGGAAACTGATTATTTGCAATGCTGTCATACAGGCTGTAAATTGCTAACGTACTACTTTGGTGAAGTTAGCAAAAGCTCAGCACCACCTGTGCCACCCATGAGTCAGGGGAATATGAGCTGCCGTCTGAGCTGCGCGTGTGGGACTGGTAGATACGTGGCCGTGTTCTCCACCAGACTTCTGTGCACTGAATTGTTCCTGCTCCACTACAACGTCTCCAGCTTCTAATCACTGCATTTGCAGCGTCTCTCGAGGACGCCATGAAAGCCGTGCGTTCCGGTGTCTCTTGAGAAGCTAATTTTAGACACTCAGTCTCTCAGTATCACACTTATAACTGAAGAAAGAAGCGCACCCATTTTAACAATCGCATGACTGACGGTTGCCTGGAGGAACGTGTGGACCGTCAAGTTTCACTTTTGACTTTACCAAATAATGAAGGACAAAAAGTGACTCAGCGAATCCAGTCAACTGTGCTATGTAAATCCTGTACGTTTCAGAATGTCAGTGCAGGTGCGCTGGGTACGTATGCTTCTGTACAGGGAGGGAGCAAAGGTGAACGAGGGAGGAAGGAAAGGCATCAGATATCAAAGGTGGAAAAAGCAGCAGGGGCAACTGTAAACATGAATTCTGACTGAAGCTCCAACATCTGCTGCTGAGAGATTGTGCGAGGTAGATGTGACGTCCATGTGACGTCCATGTGACACAATGGCTCAGCTGAGGCCTGGATCACATTATATACGACCATGGTGATTCATTCATCACACAGATAGGTGTCAGGGATGTGGGTCATGGGCTGTGGGCGGGTCCAGGAGACAGTGTCCAGAGCTAAAAATACATTTGAATTTACACTCCGACATTCTTAAATAAAGATTTTGTTTTTATAAGGCTGGAATATTTTTTAATGTTACTGAGAATGAGTCCCTGGCTCAAGTCGTACGTGTTGACAGAGTTAATTGAAGTTCTACTGTTACTGGTCATGAAGCTAAGATCACTTTAGTGACGCCTCAAACAACACGGAAAAGTTCAGCACGCCCGCAGACTTTCATTAAAGAGACTTACCAGATTTCATTGGGCATCTTGCCACTCTTACACTATGATATTTAGCCTGAGTGGTGCTGGCGATCTGTGTCTTTTTCCATCCGCCTTGCGCAGTGCAGAGGCTTAGACCGTGGAGGGAGAGCACAGATCTGCAGTTGCTCGTGCCTGAGATTTAAAAGGCTTTGCTGCCCGGCACCCAGCACTGTCCGAGCGGGAGGCGGGAGGGAGGGGTGGAGAGTGGAGGAGGGGGAGGAACGTCTGCATGATTTTCCATCATTTAAAAAAAACAAACGATAGGCACAACGCCTCATGGGTTATGGAGACAAACACGATGACCTCATGCAAGACGGAGCTTTCTGGTAATGGAGGCCGGGGCTTTGACTCATAGGAAGAAAGGGAGGAGAATTAGTTACATCAACAGCTACTGTTGAAAAAACAGCCATTAAAAGACAAAACCTCTTTCTGAAGTCAGACGAACTTCACTAGGCTACTCTGGAGACAGACACCGATGGAATACACAAAGTACTGAGAAGTACTGAGAATACCTTCAGGTCTTAATGTTGATTTCAAGTGACTGGGTTTAGTTAAGAACGACTGTTGGCTACCTGGAAAAATAGACCAGCGTCTTGATAATCTACTCTAATCCTAATTCTAAAGGCAGGGGGATACAAAGAATGTTGATTATTATGTATGACAACCAGTTTCTATTTATTAAACAAACTACAAAAACCCTGGGACTTTAGGACAGAATTGGTCACACACTCTAATTCGTATTTATGCCTGAAAAGTCACAAATAACAGCTTTTACGTTTGTTATTGCATCACTGGAAACTGTTCCAACTTTTCTGGGAACAAGGGTTTGTATATTCACCCACACTCATGTAATGTCTAGAAAGTGCCCGTCGCAGTCAAGTGCGAGAGCACTGATCCACACCATACTCTAGGTCTCTTCCAAATGTCTGGAGGCAGTTTTCCGTGAAAGCGTGGGTGAAGCCAAGCATCCCATGGGAGGAGGAGGAGAAGGAGGAGAGGGGAAATAAATGTGCTGGGAGTTGTAACTCTGCCACAAAATGTGAAAAGGCCAACTGCTGACAGGAGGTTACACCATGAGGAGAAGAGGACTTGGCAGGATGGATGGAGGAGGAGGAGGCTAACATCTGCTCCTCCAAAAACAAACATGGAGCCCAAGGCTTTAGAGAACGGAGCCCGATGCATATCCCTCCTCAACTGCTGCTGCTCATATCATATCATATCAAAGAGTCACAGTCGTCTGCTTCTCTGTGAACATTTGTTTTTTGCCCGTCTGACTGAAAGATCATCAATAGTGGTCACCAATGAAACTCAGAAGTCAGTTAAATATTTTAGAGCCTTTTGGACAACTGTGACAGTCATTGCTTCATGTGTGTTAGCATTTGCAGCACCTCCTCCTTCGCCTCCTCTTCCTCCCTCCATTCTCAATCATAGACAGAAATAGTTCCCAAACATTTCCGTCTGATTGCCAGCAGCAGTGACAACAGTGGGTAACAGGAGAGGGTGTGAACGACGGCACTGCCCTGACCACAGCTCACCAACTCCACTTTTAAAGAGGCTACGTTCTATTGTTGCTAACAGCACTGTGTAATTTACAGGTGTAGTCGTGAATTAACACCTTCAGACGACGGAGCTGGGGCTGCACAATGACATGTTAACGTTGACTCTCCAAGGAGCGAGTGTTCTGTTCTGTTCTGTGTGTTAGACTTGGACATTTTATTTGTTTACATCTTATACTTGTCTGCAAACCTTGCTTTTTTTTTACACTATTGTAGGCAGTCGTCAGGTGATGCTTACTATTCTAAACGATCAGACTTCAGTCTATATCCAGGTCTTACTTCCTTTAAAAGTGGCACATTCTTTCCAAGCACCAAACCATTCTGTGAAGTTAGACTGAGCCACAACATGAGTCATACCCAAATCGGAACACATTCATAAGTGCCCAGACACAGGTTTGCTACGGTCAAATGTGAAGCAGAACGGAAAGTGACGACCCTCGTCCATTCACGGCAGCTGGTAAAAATATTTAACACAAGCTGCTGACCTTTTGATTAGATTCCTGCTCTTGGGGATACGCCACTTTCAGCCAACATGACAAACACGTCAAGTTTGTCCCTCTGTTAAAGCTTTAGCACCTTGACCCACTCTAACGTCCTTGCTGATTATTTTATCTATGAAGTATGAATGAATTATGAATTGTTTGAGTTTCAGAGATGCTCAAATTTAAATAAACACAAAATAGGAAGAATAATTCACGACTGCTGTCCTTACATGGCAGCTTCTTCCAGTGGCTGGAAGCTCATTCATTCCCCTAAAAGGATGCTGCATTTTTCTCCTTGGCTTTGAATATTAAAGCTAAAAATGGGCTGGCAGGAAAAAAAAAAAAAGTGTTAGAAATGTTTCAGTTGTGCTCCAGATGCACCGTATTACTGTTTGTCTGAGGAATCTCAGTTATTTCAAAAGCTTCTTTAATAGCTTCCCTAATTTGACTCCCAGCAGCTTCTGGGCCAGAGGGAGTGATGAGGAAACTTAGAAGACAGCGGTGCTACTTCAATCACCTGCACTAAAAATGACGTGGCACAGAAAGATGAAAACTTTCACACTCCTTAAGCATTTATTCAACCCAATGCTATGGCCACACGGGTCAAATGTCTTGGGAGCTAGTTGGGTGGTTACACATGATATGCGTTTTTCTGTGAGGTGACTGCAGGGGGCCGCTTGGATAAACAGTCATCTGCATGGAGTCAGCAGGAGCCAAGGATTCTGGGTAATGTGATTCTGGAAGACTGTGACATACCCATGCTGATATTTATTGGTGTAGACTTTGATGTGATGGGAAAACACATTTTGTACTGTGAGAAGGTGTGTTTACCTTTGGGCGGGAAGTAGGATTTGCTTTCAGCTTTGTGGGGCCAGTCCACCACCAGGTGCCCATAGCGACGGAAACTGTTGGTGATTTCATCTGTAAAAAATAAGGGGGAATAATGGAAGGTAACCGGTTTTAATGTTTTGTCAGACATGATAAGACATCACTCATGGCTGTTCATGAAATATGCACACAGAGGACTGTATGCACAGCCACAGGCAGAGCCGTGTCAGGAGAGGTTTCTATTTTTGCTGTGTTTCTGCGGCAGTAGTAGCCCCTGCATTAAACAGGAACCGGGGCCAAACACATTTAATCTGCACCGGGCTGACTCGTGCTGTGGAAACTCATGAATTTTTAAAGGAGCTGAGGGCACAAGCTGTGCATCTCTTCAGTATCACATGGACTGAAGTCAGAAATAGAAGTAAACGTTACATATGGACATTACTCTGTGACGTGCTCCAGAGCCTGTGGAAAATGAACACAAAATTAAACTAGAACAGGACGTACATGGAAGGTAGCACAATTTCTGATTTTATTATTATTAAATTTTTTTTATAAATATATCTTTGTTAATCTGATAGAATCTGTAAATTTGATTTGAAAAGAAAAGAATAATGGCATAAAAAATGATAACATCTGTATTTATTAAAGTCTGGCCAGCAAGTGGGAAAAGAGATTAGTTTGAGAATTTTTGCCAGGGCAAACTGCTGACTGATTGACTCAAACTTTTATAATTGCTGTTGTTAACAGCAGCATTTCAGAGCAGCAGTATGACTAAGTTAAGGAAATAATATCTAACAAAGCTGTTTTTGGAAATATTGTTTCCCATTTCTCTGGAATATACGACCACTTCTTCGCCAGGGGCCGTGTTGTTTAGTGCACTCTTAGCTCAGCAAGAAAACAAATAGGCAAGGTTCCCACACGCTTGAAGCATCGCTTAATCTTGTCAACAGGAATTACTGCAGTAAAGCTGTACACAAAGCCAGGCTTTGGGCAAATATTTACACTGGCTGAATAGTTCCAGGACAATGTCAGTACCAAACAGTGGTGATTACATTTCTTGTTAACCTACCTATTTTTCAATCTACTAAATTACCCAGAAAGCATCATACTCTGGAAGAAATGCAACTGCAATTCCTCTAGTAATTCTAATCACTTCAAAGCTGATGCAGGAAATATGGCGTCTGTGTTGATGGTGTGCAGTAGAGGCCAAGGCAGAAAACACACAAGAGAGTTAAAGTCTTGGTGGCTAAAAGTTGTGGTGTTTACCTTCATCTATGTCAGGTGGAAGGCCTCCAACAAAAACCTTCCTAGAGTAGCGCTCCATCCTCTCTCCATTCTGACAGCGGGTCGGTGAGTTCAGGCCGGGGGTCAAGGAGGGGTCACCGTGGCCATCGTCGAGGAAACCATCTTCGAAGGGAAAAAGGCAGGAACGACCTTTTGGAGGTAGACGGAAAAACAGAGAGAGATAGAAATGGAGGGAGAGAGGGAAGGAGGTGGGAGTAACGGGGAGGAAAATAGAGGTTCAAAAGCGTAGGAAGAGTGTGAAATATTCAGAGAATTAATTATATGTAAAAGACATTACAGAGGCAAAAATCACTAGATTATTGAAATAATTATGAGAAGTGATTTTGTATCTACAATGCAGCAGATAATAGAGGCACCAGACGCCTAATAATCACTTTTTATTTAACAAAAACCCTACAGAAATTTGAACAAGCCAGTAATAATTGGACAGACAGATAACATCTGAAACACAATTATAATTTTCAAAATGGCAAATTTTCTGGAAAAAAAAAACAACCCACTCAACAATAGCAAGTGTAATGGTAGCAGCATTCTAATGACCATATTTGGATGTAATGTCTGGTTAAGCCCGTACTTTCTGACTGCTGCATGTGTGAACTCATAATCATGACATTATGACTCCTGCTCCTAATTATCATAACATTAATGTCCTTCCTGCTCGGCAAGAAACTAGCTGAACTGCTGCATATAATGAGCCTGGAGAGACAGTAATGAGGCAGGACATGATAGTCATTCACAGTTGGGCACATCAAGACTAAACAAATTAAACCACCCACTGAGAGGCTTCTACTGGATGAGGGGATTCTTAGCGTTATTAAGTGTTTCTTCACCGTGGTGTTATTTATCTAGATGAGCAATCACATTTCACACAATGATTATAAGAGATGGAAAAGTCATCATGATGCAAAATTAAAATCCGGCAGTAGCCAGAAAGAGTTACTTTAAAATGTCAAATTTATAAATTTGAATCTCCTTCAGAGGAAGAAGAGGACGACTGATGAGGGCTTTGTCCAGTTCTTATTTACATGATCTGGGTAATAAAATGGCTGACAGTGGGAGAAACTAGATTTGCAGCCAGTTCACTATACTTTTGTTTCAGCTTAACACTGAACACTGAACAAAGTCTTTTCTTTTCTTTCTTTTCTTTATATACAATACAAAACACAACCCTGATCCACAGGTAACCATCTTTCTTATTAATGTATTTATTTGATATATTCTGGCATTTACATCTAAGGGAATTAAAACTGATCAGATTATTAAAATTTCCCTTAAAAAAAACAAATTCCCTCTATTTTTGGTGGACAACTACATAGGAATTGTTTGTGGCCCTGTATGAATGCTGCCCTCTGCCTTTTCACCAAACTGCAGTGACACCAGAAATGTCACACAGCAGGCACCGTCCTGACTGAGGAAAAACAGAACCACTTATGCAGCACATAATAAAAAAAAAAAAAATCAGAGACGAGCCAAGTTGGATGAGTCTCTGTGTTTGCCATCCAGGTGATGATTTACGTCAGAGTCAGAGTTTTCCTGATGAAGCTATCAACTGTGGAGATTGTCCAACCAAATGTCATATTCCGATCAGGATTCAGTTATTTAAATTTCCATTATTCTGGTGGATTAAGGTCCAAATTAGGGTGTGACAATCTTTGTTCATCTTTATCTAAAATACCCTGTATTTTCAGCACAACCTCCAGTTCAACCTTTTCTTCCATAGAGGAGACTCTGACTCAGAACGGAAGGAAAATGTTTTGCTCTTTTTTTTTTTCTCTCACCATTAAACAGAACATGATTCATATAGACAGACTTCACTGATTCATCGCCCCAATTGGTTGAAAGGCAGATTATGACGGTGTGGAAAATCAACAATTACAATTGCATTCAATTACAGCACAGATGTAAAGCAAGAGAGTGACACCACACTAAAGGCCCCCTTCAGGCTAAGAGCCAGAGAACCCCCAAAGAAAATGTCACACTTTACCTCTTCTGCGGCCATAGCTCCGGGCTGCTTGTCAGCGCAGTAAAGGGAGGGGAGAGAGACGCAAGGAGAAGGAGAGGGTGGGGTAGGAAAAAGATACAGAGACATGGGTTTTATGGAATCAAACCAAAACCAGAAACATCTCTAAGGCAACAATGAATCCACAGATGGCTACATCTGAGCTTTAGCAACAGGAGGAAGCTGATTACTATGGCTTGGCTACACCTGACCGTAAACCTGCTGCATTTGCCCTAGCAACGGGAAGGAGATGTAATGAGGAAAGGAAGAGGACTGGGGCTTAGGAAGTTTGGCCATGGAACTGACAGAGATATTTACAAGCATAATGAGGCCATGCTCCAAGGCCGCAGATTGTCATCTCAGCTTAATGAACCTGCAATGACCTGCGTCCGTGCTAATCGTCTGTGAATATTCACAAATCAGGCCATAAAGCAGAGCGCACACAGGGCTGTAGGTAGAACAGGTTAGTCATTATCATGGCCTGGGTGAAATATTAAAAGTCAGATTCAGCAGGCCAGCTGCGAGTGGAAACTTCCCACAGGATAAGGAGAAGGTATGGGGGTGACTGGTAACACTGGGGGCTCTGAGGAGGGACGGAGGTGGGCAGAGTTTTAAAGAAGAGATTCCAGTCTTCTACTTCTGATCACATGGTCACGTATCTTTGTTTATCTTTACTCTTTTTATACTTTAAAAAAAATTTAAGTATACATTTCTTTCTGTCTAAATAAGATGAGATTAAGTGTCCTTTATTTCACTTATGTCTCTGTCCAACTCATAAACTGTACATACAGTACAGTGTGAATAGCCTTAGGCAGTTAAACAGTATATATTTACTATTCATCCCACATTTATTTTGTTGTTTGTTATTGTTTTCAACAGCAAATGTAGAAAACCAGAATTAACCAAACTCAACAACATCAACCTCCAAAATCACCATAGTTTATCTGAAAATTAAAAATCTGGGTTGCAGCCCACGGGCAGGCCTTACAGACACAACAACAAACAATAACAAGACTGAAGCCAGAGGTGTAGTGTTCTGCTGGTTTTCAGGCTCCTATTGGACCGACCAGCTGTCAAGTCACACATGACGAGTCAATAGAACAGAAAACAAGCTGATAAGTGTTTATCTATGGCTTTACTTTTACCCTATTTCCTACATACATTGAGAGCTTGTTAAGTGAGTGTTTTCCTTAGTTTTCTTTACATTAACAGTCAAGTCACTGGAGCCAAGCCGTTAACCATGTCCTTAAATGCACTGTTGTAAAAACACTTCTTGTCAAGTCGGACAAATTCCAAATACAAACACAATAAAATGCATCAACAAACAGTACAAAACGGCCGGCAAACAGTAGCACTTTCCAGCACACCAGCTTCTCTAACAACACAAAGTCAACGTAGATTAAGTTTTATGTGAGAATAAAACCACATGTTGCCGTTCAGGACTGTGGTTTGGTGTTTCCTCAATGTCTCAAATGTTCTCCCAACAAGTTCAATTTGAATCTGACTGTGCAGTGAATACAAACCACAGAGGAGGCAAGTGTTGCTCAGAATGGTGCAAATTCCAACAAACAGCAGGAGGGGCAACGCAGCACTAAACAGAGCCTCCTGCAGCTCACAACTTATATTTCACAAACCAGAATCAGGGCCTCAAAAAACCAATATGAGGCTTTTTGCATTGCAAGAGCCCCACTGTGTGACTTATTCCTTGGGCTCTGCTCAGGGAATACACAGTCTCTGAGCGTATTCCTTCTTGCTACGCTTTCATTAAAAGATCTGGCCAGCTAAGAAAAAAAAGGGCAACCTCCTCACTCCAACTTTGCACTGTTACCGTCTGTTCTTGACAGAAACAGAATCACCTAGCAACCAGGGCAAAAGGAAGAAATGATGACTGGGAAGTTGTCAGATCTCTCAGCGAGAGAGATCACCAGCCATAAGGGAGAGGAGGAAGAAGAAAAGTGAAGGTTAGGAATGAGTATCAGTTTCAAACTGTGTGCTGTCTGGGAACGACATCATGTTTAAAAGGAGCTGGTTGACTTCTTCAGGCATGATGAGCATGACGCCTCTTATTCTTTGTGGCTTCAAAGACTTCACTACTTTCACTAAGCTCCCAAGGGAGCGGATTCAATATATGTGGATAAAAGACCTACGCTCGGTACTTTGTGTCATCTCCTCTTCCCTTGAATTGCTCAGAGCTCCAAGACAGTAGAGGGCTTTCCATTAAATGAAAGGTCACTTTTCATTAAAAGTTTAAATATCTATTTGGAATTGAGGGGCAAGTTTTAATGCTGTTTGAGTGCCTCAGAGCATTTGAACTTAAGAGGTTTATATGACACTGTATATAGAACAGTGTTTTTGATCCTAAAATGTAAGCTTTAAAGTGACTATCTAAATGGTGACTTAATATGGAATTGAATCTTAATTATAGGAGAATGTGAGGGCCAATGATTCCTAAGATAGGTAAACTATTCGATAACTTCAGACTGTGGCAGGGGAGCCACCAGTACTACAAGTACTCAGAACTGCACAACACATTGGTCAACCAAAGTGCCTTAAACAAAATAAAACTCTGTCCAATCATGAAGATCAAGTAGAGCCTCTGTAAAACTGCAGGGTTGTTGGAAGTTGGATGAGACATTTTTAATTAACAGAGGAGAAACAAATAGTCCAATGACATGTATGTGAGCCAGTACTGACCAATCAGAAATATCTGGTTGAATCTGTGCTTGTCTGAGTGTAATGTCATGACAAAACAGTTTAACATCAACCAATGGAAAAATACAACAAAGAATGAGCACAGAGCACCGGTCATGTCAAAGGGCACCAGTGATGTCAAATATAACATTACGTTTAGGCGGAAAGCTTTGACACCAGGTGCCTTCCTTTACATGTGTAGGCCAAATGAACACATCCTCAGAGACGGGTAGCATTAGCTGGATTAATGTGATGAACAATCAGTCCGGTCATCTCTGATATTCTGCTGAGGCTTTGACGTGAGAAGCATAATTGCCCCTAACCTAATTAGGGAAATTGAGGCCTGAGACAAATTTGCTCATCGCCATTCATACAGAAATGAATATGATTCTGAGGGACAGAGCCGAGAGCAGCACATGTGATAACAACCTGGTTTTCCCTTTCTGTCTCAGCTCATGTCTGTGTTGGTCATCTGCTGGTTGGTGGGACACAGAGGGGGAATATAGTCTTACATGCAGGAGTATTTTGGGAAGTGTTATTCAGAGGTCAAACGGCGAAGCTAAACGGACAGTCCTGGGTTTAAAGTGTCAAAGAATCCAGGTCTAAGCAAAGGGTAGGCAGGTGTTCTTTCTATTGACATCAGCCCGTGTCGTCATGCAGCATATGTTTCTTACGGGAACATGACACAAAATGCTTGTACTGAAATTATTCTTTAATCTTGACGTCTGATTTGTTATTGAAGTCACTTACTGTTTAACGGCATTATATGGTCTGCTCCGGGATGATGAAAGTTGAGGCCCATACGTCCTGCCAAAGAAAAAAAAAGACATCTTACAAACGAGTGATATTACAAACACGTAATATGTGTCAGGTTGTAGTAGTCGTACGACCACACTTTTTAAAAGCAATTAAAATGCATCGTTCTTAATTAAGCAACAGTGTTACATTCATTTTGTCAGCATGTCATTTCTCTAGGATCGTAATTGAGTTGTGTGCCACCAGGGGGCAAACCATAACTAAGACCTGATGTAAAATGGATTCAATTTGTCAAAGTGCATTGTAAACAGATCTACAATGTGAATGTTCTGTTGAAAATAATTAACAGAAAGGTGATTATTTGTGTCAAGCACGTGAACATCTACACTTTTTGTACAAATAAAAAAAATCATATCACAAAAAACAATTGAATATAGTCTTATAGGGGTTGCCGCAAAAGCCCATCTATAATGATGAAACATAATGTGTAAACACATTTGTAGCAACCGTATGTGTAAATTCAAATAATAAATAAAATACATTTTTCTATCTAAGTGACAACACCAGGTAAGCAAAGTACCTAAAACTAACCGTGTAAGCATACCATTGGCTAATCTCAGTGCTAACGCTAGGGAAAGTGGAAGGCCAAAGGCTAGGTGACACAACTGCATGGCAGACTAATGTGTAATATTAAGACACAAATCAGTGACATGTTGTAAGCTGCTCTGGTGCAAATAAAGACTTGTCACTAGTTTCAAAATTCAGACAAAGAAGACACTTAGCAGGGACACCAATGGGGCCTCTTCTTGGCTCTCAAGCAAGAGTGGGACCAGCAGCAGTTGGAAAGCCAGTGTCAGGGAGGACGGGGGCGGGGGGTCTGCACTACAGTTACACAGATGTGGATTTCCACACAACTGTCAACTGATCTCTTTTAGACAACAAAGGCACTCCAGGGCAGATGGACTGCTGTTACCCCAGTCGTGTCTACACTGTGTTGTGAAATGTTGATGCTTTGGTTTGACTCACAGTCTACTGACGATGGGCAATAACAACGGTCAAGACCGTCGCTCTCAGAAAAGTCCACTTTGACTTTTTCTTTCCCT